ACGCGGAGACATTTCCGAGTCGACCCGCCGCACTTTCGGGGGAGTTTGACCGCAGCTTTGGCCAGCGATCCCCTCGTAATCGACGCCTTTGTGCGCAGCCGCAGGACTTGGCCAACCTGGGTTTATCCTGGCTCGAGATCCCAGCGAATGGCCGGTCAAGTTGAACGTAAACTATCGCGTTACGAGAATCCCCGGAGCACTCTTCGGAGGGCTGCGGCCATTCCGCGCGGCCTAGGCCGCAGGATCGCGGTGTCCCCACCAGAGCATCCTCGATATCAGTGCCGATATCCATTATACCCCGATAAGAGGTAAAATCCTCCGTCAAAGGTCCTCTTATTTCCGTCCCAAGGGAAAGATCCGCACCCTCTTAGCGGAGATTTTCCGGAAAGTAGGCGTCCGCGTTAATCAGCGTCGCGAGTCTCCCTGGGAATCTTCAAAGAAGAGGTGAGAGTCAAAGCGAAGAGCAGGAGATGAGCCTTTCTTTCCCTCTTCCTTTTAATTTCCATCAGTTTCCTCCTTTTTAGGGAGGAACTTCGAGCGGTCTCCAGGGGAGGAGGTCCTGGGAAGAGGGAGACGTCGAGAGCGGGAGGAGTCGCGCGCTCTCCCGGAGAATTTCCAGGATCGGCCTGGAGAGGAAGAGGAACCTAGAGGACGAGGACAGGAGGGGAAGAGGAGGGCAAAGGAGTCCCAGGATGAGCCGCCTTTCCGCATTTGGCCGAGCGCCGGCGAGAGAAGCTCCTTTCGCGCCCTCGCCTCGGTTAATCCCTCCCTCGGCGGGTCTCTGGGCGCGAGTCTTCCTTTAAATTTCTTCAATACACTAATGGAAATTAAATCCCTTAGGATGAGGAGGCCGCGGCCCGACAAAGGCGCGCTGAGCCGAGTCCTCGGGCCATTCTCACAGGCTCGGCGGCGCGACCTGTCGCGCTTCACTTCGCTTGATTATACCCCCCGCGACTCTTGGCCGCGGACATCTCGGTAATTAATCACACCTCTAATTGTTATTAAACCTCGGCCGATGTTCGCCAGGCCCGCTTATCGTTGCTTAAGGTCCTTATCCGGCTCTACGTCGCTCCCTCTCGGCGACTCGCTTCCCTCCTTTCAAGCTTAAGATACCTCTTCACCTGTGTTACTGCAAAGATGCACCCAGCAAAACGCGAGGATTTCATCAAAATCGCCAGACACCTATCGTGCATGATTAAAAAAACATTTCGAGCCAATTAAACATTCGAGTCATTTTCGATTTTAAATCCCGTACAACGACGGCGATTTATTTAGGGGTACCTGAATTTCAACTTTCCCGGGAAATTGAAGAAACTTATCGACGAGCCGCCTTGTCATCCGATAACGGAAGGGTTATTACCTCGGTTAGGAGGAAGCGCTTCCTCCTGGAGAGGGATATTCTCTGCTCGTCCCATGGACGCGACAAACGCGGAAAAGGGATCCGCCGTGGAAAACGGGCGCAGTCGGGAAATCAGAGGGTATAAATAAGAAAGAAAGGGAAACGCGCTCGTTAGACGGTAGGAGCGGCGCGGTGGAAAAACCTTTTGATTTCCTCGGCGAGCGGCTCCCTTTTCCCTCGTTTTCCACGTAGATGCGTCCTCGTTACGCCGTCGTGCACGAGCCGGCCCGGAAAAATGCAACTCCCGGGGAAATGTCAAGGCAAGACTCGCGATACCGAACGGACCGACATTCGTCGCACTACAACGACGAATTTTAAACGCATATATAAATCCTCAAAAAATGTCCTATTTAAAAGCATAAAAATACAAAAACAATACTTCCCGCTATTCCTGCCAAATGATATATTTCTATATATATATACATAGAAAATTCCCAGGAATTATCTTAATCAATGTCCACCGCCCTGCTTCTTAAAATGATGAAAGCAGAACGGGAAAGCATTGGTAGACTTAATCCTAAGTTATTATATATTGTTTATAGATCAGGTATATTTAACATATACCGCTGTGATTCTAAAATTAGGTGAGGAAAGCGGGAGATTTCTGCGTCTATCTCGAGATAGAAGGAGAGGAATCCCGAGGGATTCCTGCGAGCGGAACGCCGGGCGTCGCGCCGCTTTCGAGTATTTCCCTTTACGCTCCGGCGTCGCGAGAGGAACGCGAAAACCGGGCGGCGCCGCGACGCTCATATCGAACCCGTGGCGGGGCCTTCCAATAAAACGGCGAAGCCCGAAATGTCGCGTTTCAATCTTTCCGCCATTGTGAAAGGGGGGGGGGGGGAAATCGAGGACGCATGGCCGCAAAGTTCCGGATGCACGCGCGTACCGGCGAATCCACCCCCGGCGCATTTCCGCCCTGCGGAAAATCGAGGGAACCTCGATGCGCATGCGTCGCCCAGATACATAGACCGAGGGATATACACGAGGCTAGGTAATACATAAGCGCATAGGTAGAAAGGTATACACGTATTTAATATACACGCCTACATCCCCGTGTCTCCGAGAGCATAATGCCCGGAGGAATCGATCCTCCGACCCGGGAGGCGGTTTTTCCAGTTTTATTGTCCTCCCCTTATTATCTGGATTCGCGCGATTTATCTCGAAATGGGGGGAACGGCGAGGAAAAGAGGGCATTTTGGGAGGCCTTCCAGGTGACGTGAGGAAACGGGGGCCATTTGTCGCCGGGGGGGCGATTGCCCCCGAACGGGGGTTGATTTTCGTGGGGCCCAACAGGCGCAGAAATCGTGCGGGTTTCTACTACCCCCGTGGGCTATATCCCCGGAATCAGCTGCCAGATTATTCTATTACCGCGTATCAACATGGGGCGTGTTTGGTCTGAAAACACCGAGCTCCGGCACATTGTTTCAGCCAGATAAAGAATTTAACGTCGGGTAATTAAAAGGTTGGCCCCGGGACAGGGCCTGTTATTTCTACTTTAAATCTTCCATGGTGTCTCCGCGGCTTCTCGCGCAAATCCCTCCTGGGGACATTTTGCCCGATTTCCCTAGGCCTAGGGAGTCCTCCGGGAAGAGCCATCGATGCCTGGAAACTTCCTCCTATCAATTTATTCCTTTATTGAAACCTGATAAACTTCGGCACACTTCGATTGCGATTAGACGTTAATTGTTAATAATCGATGTTAACTGATGTTTGATACTTTTCAGGGCTTTTTGGAATGAATCAATTCGAAAATGAACCCGATAAATTTTCCTCAGTTTAGATGTCGATAATTGATATTAATTGTTATCGTTACTGATGTACTTTTCGCGGGAATTTTCGAATTTTCCTAAAGGGACGTTTCTCCGAGTCCAAGGGACTTGCATCCCCATCGGCTCAGGGTGGTTTCCGTGGGACAAGAGGGGTCCCATACACAAGGGGCGACGGGGGTAGCAGAACAAACAATGCATTATGTGCAGCAACGCACAAAACAGCCCGCGGGGTGCGCGGCCATCTTCGAACCGCGACCAATCCAATTAATTTTATTTTAATTACCGCCTCGCCGAGCACCGTCGATCGCCATTCCGAGGGCGAATTCGCGGCTCGATTTCGTTATCACGGCCGGACCTCGTTATCACGCTCCAGCGAGCTCGCGGTCTGCCCTTTCGCTTCGATCTCATACTTCCCGTCGTTCGAATTTTCTGAAAATGTTCCCCAAAATTCAATCCCTCTCTACACCCCAAAGCTGACCCTCACTGTTAAATTCTCTCCAAGCGTGATACCCTCAAAAAAAAAAAAGAAAAAAAAAACATGGAGAATGGAGAAACACGAAATTTGGAGTGTGTAAGTGCCGATCTACGTGGCGGTAGCGTGGAATTCGCCTGATTTTCCGCGTTATCGATCTCGCGATAACGGCGTTATAACCTCTCGTTGAAACACGAGCTCTCGATACCGCCGGACGGAAGCCATGCTAATCGCGTTTACACAGCCGAAATCGTGTAATCGTCGATGTAACCGGTACCCCCTGCCCCCGCCGGAAAATCCGCCTGTATCTCGACTCGCGAATTAATCGCAAATATCGCCCTGGGATTTCTTTCCGGGGACGCGATTAATTTCTAAAGAGCTTTCGAGGTTTAGAGACCCGCGAGCCGTCGAATTTGCCCTCGTTCGATCACTCGGGTATGGATTTCATTAAAGTTTCACGGGGAATTGTCTTAGGTTTGCCGAGTTCCCAGGGCTCGGGGATCAGCCCGATTCCCGGTTCCCGATCAGCTGTTCCCGGTTCCTGGCTGTCGGTTCCCCATTCCTGGTTCCCCGTTCCCGGTTAGACCTCGTCCGAGTCCCTAGGGAAAAGTCCCCAGGGGACCCCGACCCCTCTCGCCGCGAATCGAACGACTCCGCTCCTCCTTTTCTTCCCCTTGCTCCGATATTTTCGCTCCTCCTCTCCACCCTTAAGTTTTGCCCGACCGCCGGATTTCCCTTACGGGCGAGTGCGACAAATCCCGGGAAATTCCGCCGAATTGTATCTGCGAGGGGCGGAAGTGCCGCTAACGTTGAATCTCTGGCAAGGAAATCTGCCAGTGAACCAAAGAAATATTCCTTCTATTTCAATAGTACCGAGGAAATATTTTGTTCATTCAAGGAAACACTCAAATAAACTCAAATGAATTGGCAGAATTTATTGTATCAACTTCCGGTAAATATCCATTGTCGATGTTCATACAGGTCGGACACTTGCAATAAGTAAGGCTGTAATTGTAAATCTCGCATTTTAAGGATTCTCAGCAGTGGATTGATTTGCGTTTCTTGTAGATTTTTAAGCGTAACATTTTTAGTTTTCAGGTGAAGGGCAAAAATCGACGAAACGATGCGAGAGGGTCGATGGAAAATGGCGGCCTGATTTCCAAATCCAATAAAGATCCGAGCGCTTAGGCCGCGTCTGGCTTCACGTTATTTCCACGGTGAATCGGCGTAATTTTATAAACACTTTGAAAATCTTGCGCCACGAGGTGGCTTCGCCAGCGAGATTGCTTCGGTCGCCTGGGGCTTCGTCTGCTGCCGGGAAAATAATTACAAAGTCACACGAACGAAATGGCCGCCATGACGGAGTCGTCGTGTGTCGGCCCACGCCCTGGCGCGAGGAACAACAATGGATTTCTCCGAGAACGAGCGTTAGTTTTTAAAGGAGCGATTCCTCCGAATGTACGAACACTACTCATGATTTAATTGTCTGATCTTCCACCAAGCAAGGAATCTAAGAAGGCCTTGGCAGCTGTCTTCGCGTAGAAAAATCCTTTAGAGAAAATAATATCTCGGTCGCAAAATTTTCGGTTAAGGATTCTTGAAATTGACTGAAAAAATATAGAAAAACGGGCGAAAATGCAGAAAGGGGATGACTTTCCTCGAGAAGGGATGAAAATGATCGAGTGAGGTTAGGAGTACTTCGCGGAAAGAGGAGATAAGGTTGTTGAGAAGGGAAGAACTCGGAGGGAAACAAAATGGCGGACGAGGAAGCAACCGACGTGGAAGACTACGTAGAGGGTGAGACCGAAACCGAAACGGAAGGGTTAGCCACCACCGAAGGGGAGGTTACAGCAGGGGAAGAGACCGCGGAGACTGCGGAATCGGCGAAAGGGGATGAAAAGATCGATGATGAAGGGGAAGAGACTAAACCTAAGAAAAGAAAGAGACGTAGGAAAAGAGAAGATAGCTGCTGGCCGAAGGAGGAGAATATCTGCGCCGAAGGCGAGCCATTGTGGCGCATCTACATGAAATCGTAACATTCGTTTCCCTAAAATAATAAGATAAACATGAATATCCTCTCATTTAAACATTTCAACCCCCCAGGTACGTGGAACGGGAGGAGAAGTTGAAATCAGAGGACAAGTACTTGCAGAGGAAGCCGGGGAATTTTCCAAAATTTCCCAACCTGGAGTCCAGCGAGGGAACGTTTCCTCCTCCCTCGTGTCTCCCTCAAAACGCGTTCAACGCGAGGAAAAAAATAAAACTGCCATCCAGGTTGAACCCCGAGGAGAAAACCCGAATTTGGAGGAAGCTGCGAGAAGCGTCATCGGTTAGTTCTTCATTTTCCGGGTATTTTCTATTAAGCACCTTAATTAATCTCTTCATCGATGCAGGTGGAGGGTGCGGAAGGAGTCGAGCAGATTTCGAAGGACGAAGGCGAAAAATGGCCAGGAGTGTGGCCTTGCTTGAAACAAGGAGAGGTGGAGGGAAGAAGGAAAAGAAGGAAGAAAGGAGGCACTCCCTGCGAGGAGGAGAGAGACAGAAGCTCGAGTCTGGACAACGCGAAGGAGGATTACGCGGATTTTAAGGAACTGGGACATGCCAGGATCCCGGAGACGTGTCCTAAAAAGGAGAAAAATCTCCTGGTGGACAGGGCGGCAGGGGAGCATCCTGGTTTGGTGGATGGGGATTATATTGTCTCGGTACTCTCCTCGAAGAAGAGGTCCGACAGGGTCTACGCCACCGTCTGTCTTCGAGGGTTAAAGGGCATGCACCTTCCGGAGCTGGACGTCTCCAGGACTCGTTGGGGCACCTGGAAGTTCTGCTTCTATCAGGCTGTTGTGGCTCTCCTGGTAAAGACGCAATTGCGGTATAAATTTGCTTGGGGGGCCAACATCGACTACATATACGACCATGCGTGGCTGCTCTTCGTGCACATGGGGAGCCTCAAGATCAGGGAACATCAGCGACTCGACGACGTGGTGGTGTATAATTACAGGTTTCATAAAGTTTCATAAACGAGACTTCTCTCGCAACACCCTAAATTACGTCCTTCAGCTATTTAAAGAGAAGTATCCAAGAACTTTCATTTGCTGCCTACTAATTACAGGTACAGCGTGGAGGTGGAGCTGGTGCAGGAGCTGAAGGATCTGCCGAGGATGGAGACTGTCAGCTGGGACTATTTAGAGAAGAATTTCAGGTCGACCCGGAAGACTAGCAGGCCGGAACTGATGCACACGAGGGACACGATGGGCTGGCAGAAGACAACGGATCGTCAGACATCGCCGATTCACGAGAGCACCAGGAAACTGGAGGAATGGTTCGATGGACTGGAAGATCGGTTTTTCAACTGCATCTTCAGGACCCCCAGGTTCTGTCTGGCCTTCTGGAGGGACGGCTTCTTCTGGTACCTCTACAACCCGTACCGCTGCGACGAGTTCGGGTTCTGGGACGACCAGGGCTACGCATGCATCCTGAAGTTCTGCACGAAGAAGTCCCTGAAGAGACACTTGATGATCCTGCTCCTGAGAGCGTACGCGTACGAGAGATGCGGCCCCTTGAAGATTAAGGACTCTTCAGGAACGGATACGGAAGGTGACGTTCGAGGCCAGGATGCTGAAAAGGAAGAGGAGAAGGAAAAAGATGAGGAGAAAAATTCGGAGGGCCTCTTCAGCGTGCAGATCTACCAAATGATCTACCACTGCGGCCAGTTGCATAATTTAAGACTGATGCAGCGCGTCCCTCCGAAGCCCAGGACACGTTTAGTCCCTGCCAAGGTTTCGGATCCTTGTAGCTACGATCCCCTAGATATCTACGACCCCTGCGAAGACCCTGAAGAGGCCGGTGCCGCCGAAGAGCCCCGATGGCTGAAGAGATACAGGATCACCTGGAGCAAGTGCAGGAGGAAAAGGACCTCGAGTCCTGCCAAGCTCCGCTGGCACCAGTTCTACGTCGAGGAGCCCAACAAGTTGTTCTCCCTCTGGGGCGAACTACACACGACCCAGCGATTGTTCCCTGAAGAGAACAGGGGTAAGCAGATGTACGCATGTTACGTGGTTTGCGCAGGAATGACGAGAATAATGGCCCCGGAGTACTGGACTGCCAAGACTCTGGACGCCATTGTTATGTGCGGCGACAAGTACTACACAATGAGCAAGTTGGGCTCCCGGCGAGACCCTGAGGAGGACCCTGAAGAGTTTCTCTCTCAGGATTGTCCAACTCGCCTGGGCAGGAGCTTCAAAATCGGCGAGACCTTCTTCGAGGTCGACATCTTGCCGGCCATTTGTGGAAGACTTTACGCCAAGTCGGGGAAAAATCTTCGTCAGAGCCTAGAGAAGATGTTCCTGAAGCATCATTTTGGTATCCTGACGTGTGAGAGTACTTGCGTGGGGCTCTTCAAGTTTTGTGGCGCGTATTACATGTGCGATGTCCGCTCTTCAGGGCCACCCATTTTCCAATATGGAGACGGGGTAGCCTATCTTATCAGGACGACCGGTCTCCACGTGCTCATGGTGGTTTTAGTCCTCACCATCGGTGCTCCTGAATGCAGCCAGTTCGTTTTAAATCCTATCGACATCCTCAGGGTGGTTGACATGGGGTCTGTAGATCCTGGGGGAAGTTCGGAGTTGCCGGAGAGTCCTGCAAGGGAGGTTTGCCCCTTTGAGGACGACAGGAGCCCGGATCCGAAGAAGTGGAGGCCAAAAGCTGCCAAGATCGATCGGAAAACCATCGATCGCGTTTCTTGCCGAGAAAGTCCGAAGAGGCCCTCGAAGAAGCGGAACGGGTGCTCTTAAATTTTGTTCCTGGTGAAGATGATGAAGGGGTATCTAAAAATCGTCACGTTTCAGAATTTTACATTTTCTCCCTGAAAATCATTATTTATCGGAAATGTATGTTTTAGCCGGCTGGAGAATTCTGAATTCCTGAAAAATATCCGATGAAGAGCCGATTGCCTCTTCAGGTCCCGGAACCTCCAGTGGAGGCTCTTCAAGGGTGCACCCAGTGGCCGGAAATTTCGCGCTATAAATTGTAGCTGCGGGATACTTAAACAGCTTCCCCGTTGCGATGACTGAAACCTTTGAAAAATCAATATCCGACGAAGCCCGAGGAGTTTTCTCTCTCTATACAGCAATCAGCCGCAAAGAAGCGCTCGGAGGGCCGAGGGTTGCAAAACGGGCGCGGAATCCGGCCATCGTCGAAGAAGCGCCCTTGGATCCGCGATTGAATTTTCCCCTCGGGATCCGCATCTCCCGCGGATGAGTCGCAATTTTCCCCGGAATCGTCGAAGCCCTGGAAGAATAAAAAAAATAATAAAAACCCGCGAAATGTTTTCCCGAGAGCGCGGCAACCGGATAAACGCGGCAGGTTTCACGTAAGCCCGATGAAGGATACGTTTACCGAGTGGTACTCTCTACCCTGATTAACTCTCTCGTTTTCGTGAAAAAAACTCGTTCCCAGCGAGATTCAACATTTGCAGAGGCTACGGGTAGAATCCCCGATTTTCGGAATAAATTCCAGGACGATGAAACCGAGCGAGCTGGGCTGGATCCTTTTAGTGGGAATCGGCGGGAATGGAGTTGCGCCCGTGGAAGAGTTTTCAGGGAATTAGGCTTTCAAGGTGGGAGGTTCGTTGACTTCAGGGCTGAAAAAAAGCGACATGGGGCCGAGGGAAAAAGGAAAGAGGCACTTAGGTTGATCGTCTTTAGGTCTCAGCCCCCAACTGCGCGGGAACCATTAAACTTGCACCGGGGATCGTCTTAGTTTAGGCCGCCCCGGGGTTTATGTACTTACCGAACTTGGTTAACTTTCTCAGGGTGGAGTTGCAGTGTCCATAATTGGCACCCCCGGGCTCGACGGACCCGAGTATGGCACTGTCGCGTGGCATAATTTTCCTAGTGCACCCCTTTAGGACTACACCCCTCGTGGAGATCGCGGAAACCGGGCAAAAATCCTTGGCAATCATCTCGAATTTATTTAACAAATCGTTCCCGACTTATGCAACAAACAAACGGCTCCACATGTTCGTCATCCACTTATACTGGAAAATACTGCATACATAATACTTATTCAGGGTACTCGACTGGAGCACAAACCGTGGAATAATTGTCAAAGAGGGCCTCTTCAGGATCCCCACCCTGGATATCGGGGAAACTTGGAGAAATCCTTGGAAATTATTCCTGATTTAATTTACAAGGTGGCATAACACCAGTCATCCTGTCATTCATCCACTCGTCCACTCTGTAAGATATCTCACTTCATCGTATCTCATGGAACATGATCGGTAATCTTAGAGACGTCTTCCGCAGGATTATCGAACGATCAAATCGACTCGTCAACGTAAAGTTAAGTACATGAAGAGTTGAAGAATGTTCACAGCAAGGGGCCCGATTTGCACCCCGAGTTGTCGTTCCACCACCGATGGAGATTGCGCACCACTTGCGGTTTTCGATTCTCATGAAGAGCCTTGCAGAGTTCACAGTTGAAGTTCATGGCGTTGAGGTCGACCTTGTATCGAGCCTTCCATCGGAAATAGTCAAGATACCTCTTGGAGTCCTTGGCGAGAGCTTTGAGGAACTCGGCCAGCTCTTTTGGGGACTGGAAGTCCTGGACGTCCACGAAGGACCCAGGAGGCAGGATGCTGGGATAATCCGCACCCCCGTAGACAACAGGCACCACGTTGACCTGCATCGCGTTGAAGACCTTCTCCGTGACATAGTCTGGACACAAGGAGTTCTCAAAAGCGAAGTAGAAGAAATAGTCCTTGTCGAGCATCCTCTGGCATGCAGATGAATTGTCCCTGGAGCACTCTAAGGTACCGCACCGTCCATAGATATCAACGTCCATGAAGTTCTTCAGCTCCTTCGCGAGGTCCTCCCTCTTGCTCGAGGTCGCACAATTCGAAACGAACCAGGCAGCGAGTTTAGTTTTCCCCGAGAAGGCGATTTTCGCATCCTCCGGGACCTTATCCTTGGAGACGTCCTGCCATTGAGCCGGGATATGGGGCGGCATCACGTGGTTGCCTGACACCATCCTGAAGATCCCATAAGGCCTCATCAGGTCCGAATCCCTCCTGTATTAATATTGAAAAAAGGGTTAATAATACTCTACACAAGTACCGAGTCCCAGGACTGAGATAAAGACGGTACTTTATCCACTTTACCCAGCCTCCGCGAATATTTCTCAAAATTTTACCCCAATTCCGCGCGTGAAGTCCTTCTCTTAAAAATCATCTCCTGAGATATACTACCTCAAAATTAATTTCCCAGGACCTAAGGGAATTTTTCCAGGAATTCTCAAATAGTTCTAGAAACGGATATTCCGTTTTCATGACGAACCTCACTTGGATATTTTTTTTTTTCAGTCACCTGTAAGTAACGGTCCAGTTAAAGAGGTCCTCGAAGACCTTGATTTTCCGAATTTTCTGCGACAACGGGGTCTCCATGTCCAGGAAGATGTACACCTGTTTGGGAGACCTGGTCTTGGGGATCGGCACCGAGGTCATATCTGGACCATGGAACAAGAGTGCATCAAAGTCCTCCACAGGTTGGTGGTTCTTATCGTCGGTGCCCCAGCAGGCCGAGACTGGGCATCCCTTGAAAAGGTCCCCCTCTCCCATGTAGAAATTCCTGCTGCTGAACATCTTGGTCCAGAAGAGGATCTTCTTGGGTGGGACCACTCTTCGCCAGGACGAGTTGGTCGTCCTCTCCGTTGGGCTTGTTTCCTGGCCCTCGTACTCCTGCAAGCTGCCCTCGTACTCGGATTTATCAACAACCGTCCAGTTGTACAGGCAAAATGTTAAAATGATGATCGCCAGGACACTGATCACCAGGTAGCACTTAGAGCTGGTCGGCTGCAGGATCTTCATCCTTACCTGTCGCGACGTGGTACCACTGTGCGATCGGCACCGTTTGACGAGCATGCCAATCGCCCTTAGATAAGAATTGGACTGATCTATCTATCTCGCTCGACGTTATCTATCCGTCGACAATATCGATGTACTCACTAATCAAACATCGAGCACGAGACGCGGCGAAAAGTGTAACGACGAACGCCTTTCAGGGATCAGAGGCGTATATCAGAAGTAGATCATAACGTAAATGCCCACACGTGTGCTCTGCAAACGGAGAAATTAATGGCTTGCAAGACACACTTCGGTGGTACTCGATTATGGAGTCCCACATAGTGTCGCACAGACCGCGGCGCGTCAGACGGACGATTAATGACTTCGGTGCTATTCGACGTGTCGAGGTGTAAAGAACTCAATGATAGCGTAACTCTCCCCTACGTTGGAGTACCGAAGTCATCATCGATGAAAATTGAATTTCGCGCACGTACCGATCGAAGAAATTGGGCACGGGTCAAGACGTGTGAAGACTGCGTTGCGATCAGTCAACCGACGTGGGGTTATGGACTTACATGGACCGCTCATTCCCTATATACATATTCGTATTTGTATTATACGTCCATGTGTGAGGAAGGCGTAAAGCAAGGTCAACTTCAAGTTTCCCCATCACAATTCTCTCCGTCACCGCGAATATTTAATCGAACAGGATATTCTGGATATTTCTTTAATCTCGAAACTCGTTCTTATTTCTATAATTTTCATACTTCCTCAACTAGTTCCGATACTGACCACATCGATTAGGTAAGGTTAGGTTAGGTTACGGCCATCGACTTCAAGAGTAAATTGTTTTCAAGAAGGTGATACCGACTCCTAATTGCTCGTTAATCAATAAAAGGTAAAGTCACTAGTCTCCTTACTTTGTAGGCACATTTCACACGTCTTGTCTCTGACTTTTGTCACTGGAAACACGCGAATGTATATCTTATTTCGCGGAATATCGCGTTTTTGCATCGTGGCAGGTATTATCGAATTTTCATGGTCATACGGTCACGCTGCTCAGACATAACTCGAACAGCGTGTCGATTTCGTTTTATCCTTTAGCCTTTGTTCCTCTCTTTCCGCTGCCTCGAGGAAACGTGGCTGATAAGGCGTATTAGTAAATGCCTTCAACCCGATTAGAAACACCAGTCGATTAGGAGGCGACCGATGTATTACTTTTTCTAAGCTAGAGACGGTCAGCAAATTTTAGGAGGTGTGGAAATTCGATTCCAGGAATCGGAGGATCGATTCCCGGAGGCGGTGAGATCAAAGCGGGCATTAAAAAATGGTCGAGTTCGCCACAATAATTTATTTCTGGTTTATACACGTCGATCGCTAGCCATATGTACAGGTATATTTACACCTCGGCATGAGTTTAGGATTTACTATTTACATTTTCCTGCCTCTGGAAGGTCAGTCAAGACGAAGCCGAGTAAGGTAACTTCATAGTCGGCGCCATCTTTCTTTCATTTTATTCATCATTTATTCTTCTAGCAGGTCAACTACGCGACCTCCAGATCCGAACTATCCGTGTCCTGGTCGTGTTGTCTATTTAATGTCAAGTGTCCTGGGACTCTCATGGACGGAGATGAGGCATTGTCATCGGTCCTTTGACGTTGCTCGATCTGCAGCTTCCTCAGGCGTTCCTGCTCCTCCCGTTTCTGCTTGCGCCACTTTGCTCGGCGATTCTTGAACCACACCTGGAACATCGATTTGTATAACTTAACCAAGTTCCCTAAAAGGATGAAAAAATTTCAACGAGATTTCTTTTTTCAAAATGGCGACTATAAAACGCATCGGTCGATTCACCAAGCTAAGTGCGACTTAGCTCGATGGTTGAATCGAAGGATGTTGATCATAACTAACCAAATGTATAATTTAACCAAGTCCTCTAAAAGAATCAGCAAATTTTAACGAGGTGTTCTCAAAATGGCGGCCATTTACGAAGGACTATAAAACGCATCGGTTGATTTAGCGAGCTAAGAGCGATTTAGCTCGATGGTGTAATCGACGAATGTCACGAATGTCACTCGAATAAACCCCCGTAACGAGGGTCCTGCAGGACAACGGAAAGATCAAACGGCTTCAATGCACCACTGAAATCAGCATTTGTCCATTACGCCTGTCCGAATCGATTTGGGCGAGGTCTGACAATCGATACCGCCTTCGCCCTGACGACCCGGCCGCCTTTTTCCCCCGAAAAAAGTAGTAAAGGATCTTTTCAATCATTCCCTAAAGAACGTTGGAAATTATTTTCAAGATCTTTTAGTTTCCCTCGACGATTTCCGTGCATACACGCGCGTAGATAAACTAAGGGTGTCAATATTGTCCCAGACCTTGCCTTTACTAATACCTAAAACAGATCTTTGAGGGAGGCAAACAGTGAGTTAGAATGACGGTGAAACTCGAAAATCCGCCCTTCGAGGGCTGAACCTCTTCCTCGAATGGGAAAGGTACTAATTCTGGACAAACAGCAGATCTAACGAGCCCAGAATCCATCGGCAGGTGGACGTGGGTGCGTGTTGTTGCTGGACCTCGGGAACTCAAGGGAACTCTTGGGGAATGGGATCTCCTGTGGGCGAGCCGACCACGTGGGTGGTCCCACGGGACCCCGTAGGTGTGAATGGCTCTAGGGATCCCGGAGATTCGAGGGAACCTTTTCGAGGGCTCAGGACTGGATCCTTTTTCTCCCTCGGATAAATCTGCTCCGATGGATTTGCAAGTCCATACCGATGAAACCGAGGGAGGACCGGGAAATTTTGGTGGAGGGAAGAATATCGATTTTCAGACGTTTTGGAAGAGACATTTTTTCCCCCCCTCGGGTAAATCTGCTTTGATGAATTTTAAAGTCCTTGTAAATGAAACCGAGTAAAGAGGACTCTCTGGGACATTTTGGCGGAGGAAAAAATATCGATTTGGAGACATTTTCCAAGATACGCCTTTTTTATCCCTCGAGTAAATTGGCGAAAAAAGAAAATGAAGGGAAAAAGTTATGTATCTATCGATAACGTATCGATGAGGATCCTTAAGGAGGAGTGGATGATTCAATAACCTCGCGCCGAGCCAAAAATGTTGATAAGCGTTTCTTCTGCAGCAATTTATTAGTTATCAGCTAGATAGCTGCTTATCACGGGGTTACAGTTGCCACTGTTGCATCTAGTCTCTTGCAGGCAGAAATATAAGTTGATGCGGAACGGTTAGATAGGAAAAATATCTAAAAATACCGGCTGGTATTTTATTTCAGCCCTTAGGATAATGAGAAAATGCAATTATCGTTAAAAATCGAGATAATGGGCCTTCGCTAATCCGTTTGACGTATTTCGCGACAATTACGGGGAAAATCCGTCGAGTTTATTTCGCGCACTCCAGTTCCGAATTTTAATTGCACTTTGTCGGCGTAAATGCAAATCCTTGCGCCAAAATTCAAGGGGGCACTCGAGTTATCCGAGAAATCCATTTTTCCCGCAATTGGCAAATGTTGTTGCACCGATACATTATAAACGACCTGGGCAAACTTTGACGCTACAACACAACGAATGCTTACAATAGAGGTCCCTGTAATCGAATGAACAAACAAACACTTGTTATCACCAAAGGACTCTGATTAATCAGTGCGACGTTAACACTACGCAGCGAGGCATTTTTCCGAAAGTGCATATTAATATCCTGCGACCTGGGCATTAAAGAGCTTGTCGGTTGACAAAGGATGACAAGACAAATAATTGGCCGGCCCTATAAATTGAGCGCGACGAAAACGTAGGGCGACCTGAAATGTTTGTCAACCCCAAATCTTAGCTCTTCAGGGTCGAAAGAAGCAATTTGTCAGGCAGCTCTAAAGGCACACAAAGTCGCAGGGCGAAATGAAAGGACCTCCAGGAAATTCCTAAGATTTTCTAACATCCCGAGGAAGACTCAAGACTCGCTCAATTTGCAGTCACGACAAAATTCCTCCTTCCTCCAATAAAAATGGAAAAGCGAGCCGCTCGAACTCGAAGAGGTCCTAATACCAAACAATACTGTTTGCGTTGGTCAGGGACGTCGAGAGCTTCATAAATAGAAATTTCTTGTACCGTTTCGGCGGGGAATAAATTTGTGGCCGATTTTTTTTCCTCGATCTTGAGACTCGAGGAATTTCAATTTTTCGACTTTTTTGACATTTCCTTCGTTCTTAATGAGAATTAATAAGGAGACAATTTTTTATTGCGTAGCTCACCTCGATGCGCTCCTCCTTGAGGTCGACCTGGAGGGCGAGCTGTTCCCTGAGGAGGACGTCGGGATAATGAGTCTTGTCAAAGGTCGCTTCGAGCTGCTCCAATTGCTCCTCCGTGAATATCGTCCTATGGCGACGTTTCCTTTTCGCCATGGGGCCGACCCCCGGCGCGTTGGGGTTCATGTGGTAAGGGTGGCCGGTATGATAAAACGTGGGTTGGCCATGAAGAGACACCCCTGCGGCCGCCATCGCCGCCACGTACCCACCAGGGTAGAGACCAGGGTAAGCTGCAGCTATAATTCAAGTAATACCCCAAAATTAAGCATCTGCACGACAAGAAACAGAAAGAGATCAAAATGCCCTGAGACTCGATTTATCGCACCCCAACATCTCACATCAGGGTCGAACGATATCCACGCCGAGAAAAAGAACTCATCGAAGGAAAGAAACATTTCTTCGACTAGTACCAATGAAATATTTTGTTAATTCCAAGAATAATTAATTTACTCAAATAAATAGTTACAACTCCGAGGAATCGTCGCGTCGAATTAACTAGAGTCTATTTGAGGGATAAATAATTATTCTTCGAACTAACGAAATATACCTTTCGTGGTATCTGAACAAATGTTTCTCCAGTTCAGTGGAGGTTTTTTTACGCGTGGCCACGTAAAGCCTCTCACCTAGGAAGTCCGCCGAGGTGAAGGCGAGATGATGAAGTTGTTGCTGAAGAGGATGGATAGCGGTCCTGGGGGGCGAACCCACGGAGTCCGGGGTTTGCAGGATCGCGAGGTTGTTGGAGGTCGCTGTGGAGACGTTGCCAACGGGTCTGGGGGCGAGGATGCTGTCGATGGTGAAGAGCGAGGTCGGCGAGGACATCGTGGCGGAAGAGCTGGGCCTGGAGGCTTCCCGAGGGCGGTACCGCATTTCTTCAGGGCTTGCCGGGCTCCTGCTGCTCCTGGAGAACGCTCTCTCCCTGGAATCGACCTCGAGGCTCCTGTTCGAGGAGTGCTGCCCGTCGGCGATCTTCAGCTTGTGTTGCAGGCTCTCGGGCGAATAGTTGTAGAGATACCGGTGGCTGTAGCCGGAGATCCCGCCGCCATCTTGGAGAGGACTCGAGGGCTCGGTCATCGGAGATCGCGATCTTGGAGAGTCACTCGCGTAGGTGCTCTCTACCATGTTACGGAATTACGAGAGACCGCCTGAAGACAATAACCTAATGCCAACTTGAGTCCTTCCGAAGAATCACCCCCCGAATGATATCCTACGAGCGTTCTTAACCTAATCACAAGAATAGAGGTTTTCTTCCTCGGCGGGAAACCGTGGCTTCGGTTTCGCCCCCTTACTCGGTCATTCCGAGGACTCCCTTAAGTTATTCACCATGTCCGTCGTTTCACGACCCGCAGGGTGACTCGACTCGGCGCGTCCACCTCGCACTAACAACTTTTCCATTCCAGTATTACCAAGATGTCCGAATTTCTTCTCGGAGGCACCGTTTGCCGTTAAGCCACGCCGAGGATTCTCTTTCGCGCTCTTCCGTTCTTCCGAGCGGTTACCGGCAGCGACGGTTAGCGCGAGCCAATCGGGTCTCGACTCGCGTCCGGCCCAACGGCCGGGCTCCAGGGGAAATGGACTCGCGGTGCCCGCAGCCAACCGAGTTCCACGGACCTTGGCCGCGCGTCGCCGCGAAAGTGGAACTCGGCTCCAAGATGGCGGACGCCCCGGCGTCGTGGGACCGTTCACGGATTTCCCTGCGGCCGGGGAGCGCGGCGCCCGGCGATGACTTCCTGGTCGGGCCTACGGACCTCCAGCATCCCTGATAAATGACGATTCGGCGACTGCCCTCGCGGACTGGTGACCGAAGGGTGCGAGGTCGGTCGTTGCTCGAGCCTCTCGCGGCCACCCCGAGGAGCCACCCTCTGCGGCGCGTCCTCATTGGTCGGTGACGCACCCTCCAAGCCGATGCCTCGCCCACCAGTCCCCCTCTCCGGCACTTCATCCCTCTCGGCGTGACCCGGGACGAGCGACTGGTAATTTCACGGGGACGGGACAGGAGGCAGTGGCCGAAAGCGGGCGGGAAGATCGTCCGACGCGGAGGGGTGGCGCTGGACGCGTTTAACGCGGATAATCAGGCTACGCCTCGAGTATTATGGACTTTTCGCTCCGCTCGACCCTGACGCTCCTCGAGGCCGCCGCATCTCCCTGGGAGAATTTAACAGGGGAGGGAAAATTGTACGACTACGGATACTAGTCGTGACGGACTATTTTATTACCTATTAATGTTTAGGACCACTTAATACCATCATTTTTATGTACGACTGCGACTTGTACAAATTGTAGCGACTTTAAGAGGATTGTCTATGTATGTGATACATATGTGGTATATGGAGACAGAGGGAAATGTTGCCGTTAAATTCCCAGCTTTTCGACGTGTAAGAAGGAAAGGTGGTTTTTTGCAGTCGGTTTATGACCCTGAGTATGTAATTCGTGGGCAGTGGACGTTTAAGGAATTAGGTTTAAGGGCACACCCGGCGGAGGGGACGCGAGTCTGTCGACGCAACCGTGGTCCAGGGGTACCAATGTCCTTCGCACGTAATCCGGGGGGGTATCTCTTCAATTATTCAAATCCCGCTCATGTGTCCGTATTAATGATATAAAACCGTTGTAATGCGCATTACCTGGGGGCAGGGGAGGGGTTGGACAGCAGGGATAGGTGGAGAATGGGTCGTGGGGTGTGCCCATTTTGGTACCCCTGGATGAGATCGCTGAAATCGGTGCCGACCCTGATCCTAATCCTCGCGTTAATCGCGGCCGAATCTGCAGAACCGGATCCCGGATCCTGCAAACCAATCCTGCAGGACTAATTGATAAAGGCGCTCTCGCGACTCCATTCTCGCGGGTAAAATTCCCAGTAAATAATTCTTTTTTTTTTTCGCATTAATAGCTGTGAGAAACGCGATACGCGTGATTTTTGCACGGTAAAGAGCCAAAGCTACGGATGATATTATAAGTGAAGGGTAAATAAATCTTAAGGGTACCTTTATTCTAGAGGTGGTCTCAAGTGCGACCTAATGGAACATACGGCGCCCTGACAGGACTCGAACCTACATCCTAGTCTACCTACGAGGATCAGGATTATCCTTCACGCAGGATTACCGGGTATTTTGGGTGGCTGCAGGATTTGCCGTTGGCATTGGTATATATGCGACATCCGCCATTGCTGGGACCACAATGGGCCCTACCAACTGCAAGGCGATTATTTCTCCTTCCCTCGTTCCCTGGAAGGACCGTCTCTTCCTCTTCTCGACAAAATCTGGGAATCATCTTGGGACCAAAATGGCCGCCGCGGGAATATATACGGAATATGCAGTTTTATTAATATCGCGACATTCGCCGGGTAAATTGGGTGAGAAATCTTGAAATCAAAATGGCCGCCGCGTAATATATACGCACCGTATCCGTATTATGCATATATATTAATATTGTCAAATTCAGGGGGTGGAATTAATCCCAGCGATCGCAGATTGTTCCGGAAAGGGGGAGAGATGAATCCTAGGGAACATTCTTGATTTTCCCGTAGTTTTGAATCTCTCGTAAGACAAACCGAGCACCTCGGGGGTGTAACCGTGGGGGTGCGGTGCATACATTGGCGGAGCCGCCTCGCCAGATGCAACACTCTGAATATAGGATTTCGACGTTGAGATGAGGCCGTCGGATAATCTCCCGTCGGCGTCTGACTGAATATTTTCATCCCCCGAGGGTGTCTAGCATCCCTTAGCAACGTTCCTGGGTCTCGCTCTCTCCTCTTCCGTGGAAATACTCCAAGGGTTTTTCGGCTGAATGCTCGCTCCTGAAATTCCGCGCGAAGGAAGGGGCGAAATAGTCAGGCGCTGCACTTTTCATATAACAAAGGGTTAGGAGCGAAAAATCTGACGGCACACGAGGCGGAAATTTCACGCTCTCTTTTGACTCGGTGACGTCTGTGACTCCAGGGATGAAGAAGAAAAAAAAAATTAAGAAGAAACACGTCTCGCAGTTATTTCTCACATTTGGAATTTCCCGGAGGGGCTTGACATCGCAATTCGTTCTCCAGATTTCGTACTTCCGTAAGATCCTTTCTCATTTTTCCCTGTTTCGGGTTCCTAGAGAGAGATTACGGATTTTTCTGTAATCATAGGCGATATAGCAACGGCAATGAAAATCTTTTCACGCAAGAGATCCGTGAGGTAGAAAGTTGCGCTTGGCGGCCATTTTGAAATTTCTTGTCGAGGCGGAGGAGGGCGCAGGGCTTTCTCGATTTCGGACTTCCGGGGGCTTCTTTCTTCTTCCAGGGATCTCGGGAGGGATTACAGATTTTCCGGTAATCATCGGCAGAATTCCGGCGCTAATGCGGCGACAATACAGATGTTTTCACGTCTAAGCAGCGTGCTAAGTGGATGTCCCGGGCTTCCTGGAGATGCCCGGGGAGAATCGGCTGGTCGATCCTCCAAATTCCTACGGACTTATTAGTTTACGTTACACTTGACTGGACGCCTTTTCGCCTCGGGAATATAATCGCAGGGAGAGGAGAAGCCAACGGAAATTGATCCTGGGAATTATCCTGCGCGTGGTCCTCTCCTCTCTTTCCTCGGGTCCGTTCTTCGCCTCTTCTCTTTCTTACCCGCGATAATCACTCGCCGCGGGACGCAGACTCCGAAGTCGAGCTAAAGAAACCCCGGAATCGAGTGAAAGAGACTCCAAAATCGAAAGGCCACCGGTCTAAGCTACTATAAGGATCCCGGAAAGAAGATCTCCCTACCGAGACCTCGCCAGGATCGGTATCGAGACGATTTAAGGATCTGGTCTCAAAATCTGGAGAAAAAAAAAGAAATGCGAAGGAATCCAAAAGTCGCTCAGAGAAAGCCTCGGATATACAATGCAGGGACTGGAGTTTCCACGGAAAAACGTCACCCTTCTCGGCGGTGCCTTTCATTTCAATTAATAACAAATATCTGCCGCCGTAGATCCTGCCGAATCCTGTAAAGGCGGACCCGACAATAGGCAGGAATCTTCAGCGGGTTCCACGAGGATTACAGGTATCTCGCGGTAAATATTTGCTTTTTACCGAGCCAACCGACGGCGAGATTTTTCTTATTTCTCCTGAGATGCATTTTTCCCCATTTTACTTTCGTAGCGAAGGACCAGACCACCAAGGTTTAAAAAACAAAATTGTTCCGATCGATTCCATGTCGTGGCAACGATTTAAAAAATTGTATAAAGGTACACGTAACAAATAAAAATCCGACAACCTGAGAGATCTCCATATCAGGGAGAGCCGTAATCACGTTTACGTGTTCAAAGAGCTGATAAAAAAAAATATTTACACGTCATCGCAACGTTAACAAGAAAATTGTTAAAACGTGTGAAAAATGACTATCCAAAATGAGAAATTCCTGTTCGAGGAAGAGCCATAATCACGTTTATGCGTTCAAAGGGCTGATAACGGTGTCACCGCAAATAGGTAAATATAGCCGGATCTCGCGCAATGCCGATGCACCGCCACTGACAATCGCAATTCACCGGCCCGATTGTTAATTAATCTTTAATTATTATATGGCTGGCAAAGGCTGATCGGGGCACAAAGGAAGCTTATTCGAGGCGAACTATGCGCGCATCGCCGCGAGCCATCGATCGTCAATTAATTTTCCATAATTGGTCGGACATTCTGGCCGTGTGCGTCACTCCGGTGCACACGCATGCGGTCGCGGCCGGAAGCGCCGGGAAACCAATTACCAATTGTCAATTGGTTCTTTTTAAGCCGCCGAGGAAAACGAAAAAAAAAAAAGGAAGCCCGAATCGATCGTCTCAATAGCAGCTTCAACTTCAATTAAACCGCTGCATGATATTTTTGGACGACTTTGAGAAAAATCCGCAATAACCGCAACGATGGCGTTTCGCGGAGGGATTCCCATGTCCGTGAAATTTTTTAATTTCGCTCTCAGATCTCGAGGCACATTCTGAACCATCTCCAGTTCCAGCGATAAAACGTCCAGCCATGGTTCGACATTGATCTAAGAATATCGACATAATCGAACGTATATATTTTTCCTCGCCTCTTTAGACGCGAGGGAGGCTAAAGGACCGTTTCCACAATTCGGCGCAAGAGCGCGATATTTTCCGAGGACTCGAGATTACAAGGAAGAGGACGAGATGCTTTTAGCGCGGCAGGAGTCCTGGCGAGGCGGATTTCGCTAAGTGTGCCCGATAATTCGGAAGGACAACAAGGATCCTCGACATCCTGACGGCGCCTTCCGGCGCAATGGCCGCCTAATCCCTCAGGATTGTTTATTCTAAGGCTCGCAACCGACAACCGCGATGAGGTTTCCATGTCATCCTATAAAACAGGGATTAGCCCTATTTTGCGTCCCCCGGCGCTCTCGACGCGAGGTAAAGCGAGTCCTTTAAACCAGACTCGCCAGGACTAGAAGAAACGGCCTTTCGTTCCTCTCTAAAGCGGGAAAACGCAAAGAGGGGCGGCGGGAGGAATAATATTTGTCCGGGGTGCGGGGCCCTAACTGCACAGATTATTCTATTACGGGGGCAGTATCAACAATAGGTAACGATAAGCGCGAGTACGGCTCGTATCGGGGGGATCGACAGCCGATGTTGTTTGGCTTGGAAATACGTCATTGTTTCGGGACGATAAAGAATTCAACGGTTGGATAATTACACCGACATCGATCGCCCCCCCCCCCCCCCCCCCNCCCCCCCCCCCCTCCGCCGGGAGGGAGTTTCTGGAACGAGCCAGAGACTCGGAAGAAGCACCTCCCCGGGGTTCCTGGAAGGTCCTTCGAGGTGGCATTCGCTGTTCCTGCATGTTTAGAAACATTTAGAAAGGATGTCATGTCTGGCAGGGTACTCGTTCAGTCCCGGAAAGAGCAAGCCCCGTATCCGTGTCCGATCTCGTGCGTCTTTCCAAGCGGATCTATTTAAACCCCCACAGAATAGGGAAACTTCGGGTCGCGGCCCCAAGGCCCCGTCGCATGTATTTGTCCGCACGTACAAGGTGTAATAGAATTCGTGGGCCAGGGTCTATACATCCTTCTTTGTCGAAAATGGAGTAGAAAAATCCAGCGGAATCCCAGGATACCGGGAGTTGACTTCCCCTCACGTAGTACAGAGGAGAGCGCAGCGACCTCGCGTGCTGCTAATCGGCGCGCCCGGTTGGGTACTTTTCAATTAATTATCAGGGCCAAACTATGCATCGTAGGAAAAAGTTCTACAGGACTTTTCGACTCCGTTTTTATCCAGGATAATGAGGCGCAAACCACGGCCATGGGTTTTGATTCATATCCTGGTTATCTAAGGATGTATGTCGCGTGGACGTGCGCGCTATCGAGGCGCAGCAAAGGTCGCAGGAGTCCGATCGGAGGATGGGTAGACACTTCGGGAAAAAGGCACCCGTGCGGTGCGGCAGCTGTTGCGGTGGCTTCGGAGGGCTCTTTTCTTCAGGGTCCCGAGGGGCCTTCTCATCTCCTTGATCCCTCAAAGGCAAATAATCCTGGCTGGGGCCCCGGGAAACGCAGGAGTGAGGTCCCCGCGTCCAGGGACCTCCTCTCCTCGGCGTTGTCCGGGCTGTTTGCCTTTTATTAAACTCTTGTTAAACGCCGCCTTTCTTCGCACACACAATTGAGTCGGCAAAACGGCGAATAATGCGCTCTCCGGGTCCATCCTGGAGCAGGAGCCAGGTTGTCCTTCGGGGACCTGGACCCAGGATCCAGGACCTGGGACAACTCACCCGGCAAGTGGCTCCGCTCCTGAAACGGACACCGTGTAATCGCGCCTTTATTCGGCACCCCCTCGTCCTTGCAGGATCCTGGGCTCCGGGAATGCGCGCATTGTGGTCATCTCCTAGGAGAAGAGGGAGCCAATGAAAATATTTGGATGTTTCGCCGAGGAAGGAGGCGTACCCGTTGAAAGTCCCATTGTGACCGGCTCCTGCCTGGAATAATGCTCTTCGGGTTCCTCTTCGTGTGTGTACTCGGAAACGGGACCACTTCCGGGTCGGCTTTCGAATTAGAACTTTATTACATCCCTCCTCTCGTGGACTCACAGGACTCGCGTGGACTGAACTAAAAAATATATATGTACATGTATTAAGGGTTGTTCGCTACCTCGAGGCCCTTCGACAGGAGGATTACAGATTTGCGATTACACGAGGGCCTAAGTGCGCATCTAATCGACGAAGAGACCCGAGATCTCTCTCTACATATAAGTACATGTATAATGTATAATATATATATAATGTATAATGTGTGTATATAAGTTCCGTGAGGTAAAAACTAAGTACTCGTAGAAACGCGTTCCGTGGGACTGCTCGTAAGGTCACTTTCTAGGACTTGGTTGTAAAGTGCGTCGGTGGATATGAATGTCTCCTTATCGACATGACAATCATGACATTATCAGGGTACACGCGGGCGTTTTTGTGTAATGTATAAATCCTGTCCCACTGAGCGCGTCAACGCATCCAGGATGAACAATTAATAAAAATTGCGACACTTCCAAGGAAACATTGTTTCTAATTTCTCTCCTGTCGCGTTCTTAGGACGCGCTCTATGTAACACCTGACGCGCTCTGTGTGACACCTGACGCGCTCGGTGAGACGCTCCATGCGTAGATTAATTGCGCCAAAAATTCGGGATATGTTGTCCGTCAGTCGGTTCTGCGTACGCAAAAAACGCACGGAATAACTAGTTAATTGCGTAATCGACTAATTATTTACGGGGACGAGTACTGGATCTCGATTGCCGCGAGTCGGGGTTTTATTTCTCGGACGACCTCGAAGAGACATCGAGGAAGTATAATCTTCTGCGCGAAGGATCGCGATATGAACGGAGAAAAAAAAAAGCAATAGAACTCAGAAATTAGGGTTTTGTTAAAAAAATATATATATGCATATGCGTAGATCCTTGTAACCGACATTCAGCCTGCCGACTTCTCTTTCTCCTCCAGGACGCTTCGCGATTTCGCAAAAAGCTCTGTACGAAAATGCACATCTCGCTATCTCGTGAGATTTCGAAAGAAGTGCGATCGGTGTAAAAGAATGAACAATTTCCAGGGTAGAATATTTAAAAACGTCGATATTTTTATCTTATCTCGAACCTAGAGGGCCTCTTTTTCACACCGCGATGTAAAAAGACGCGCTGCCAACGAGGGGCAGACATCTCGACGAGCCTTTGCTTGCGTTAAATAACAACTCCTTTTTATTACTTTATTACTTAACTCAATACAAATTCAGCATAGTGTAAAAATAATTGACTATGAGAGGTAGTCGGAGGAACGCGTCCAGGTTTGTCCGTTTCGTCGAAATGGGGGGAAACGAGAGGTCCCCTAGGCTCACTTTAGGACTTTCTGGACTTGATTAAAAAAAAAAAGATGCTATCTCTCTCTCTCTTGGTGCACACCGAACCCTTTCTCTTGCCCGACATTGTTACTTTCGTTCGAAATGTCCTACTCTGGAAAGCGACACGCGTTGGAAAAGGTCGGATTTCTAGCCTTTCCCCGCTGTATTCATAATTTAGAAATATGTAAAAGCTATCGAAGTCTTTCGCTGACCTATTCAAAAAAATATATATGTATATATATGTATATATATCTCTAAAAGGATCTCGCACCACCTTCAGCGATGAGCAGAATGTGCCCCCACTAGAGGTCTGATCAGTGATTACAGAAAAATAATTCGCAACTTTCGTATCTCCATAACGAATCGCTGATACGGGGTGAACATCGAGGATATTACAAACAATGGAGAGAACCGTGCACAACCGACGAACCTTTGTAACGAGATCTGCTAAAACGTGCCGTTGATAATTTACGTTTTTTTTTTTTCTCCAGTATTCCATACCCGACAAATCTTGGCGACACCGTCACCGCGCCAGGAACCCTCCGTCCCAGCTCGTTCGCCACGACCACCTCGGTGACGCGAATATGTAAACATGTATATATGTAAATATGTAAAACTACGTGCCTACGCGCTACGACTTTGGATAAGGTGCATCGACGGGCGACGATCGGCCGAGATCGAAAGCCCCAGACTCTGGAAAGCGACAACTAGCGAGGGGCCTAGACGCGTCAGGAGCGCTGCAACGGGCTGAGCCCTAGGAGCCTGCACCTAGACGCTGGGCTTACATGGCTATCCTACCGCTAAAACAATCTGCCTCCGCATCGGGGAATTAACTTAAGTCTCTACATAGGATAAGGACGCGATGACCTCGGTCCCAGGCCCAGATCTATAGCCGGTCGTCGCGTTAACAATTAACGGAATACGTCAATAGAAACCGAGAGGGGTAGAGGAGCCGACGTGGTCCCTCTGACCGGACGCTGTGGTATCTGCCCTGCGGTCGTGTAAGTACTTGAAGATCATCGAGATGATGGGACCACGTCCGGTCTCCTCGGGTTCCCGGTTCGACAGTCTCTTTTAACATCTACATACGGCGTACGTCTAGAAACACACACACACAGGCCTCGATGTCGTTCAACTACCTCTCCCGCGATGGTCTCCCTCGTGCTGTCGACCTCCTCGCTGACGAGCTTACTCTAAAAGTATCAGAAATACATCGAAAATATTCCTAGGGTATACATCGAGTGGCAGAGTGCTCCGAAAGGAGTCGCGCGATGGTCTACGACACCAGGGGCTCCTTCGCCGTCTGGGTGAAGGACATTTCCATGGTGATGCCGGCGCTGCTGCGCCGGAACCTCGTCGGGATGTCGACGTTATTGCGAGGCTTGCGTCTGCTGAGATGCCGCTCGACCCACTTCAGCATCGTCAAGACGGAGTCGGTGCTGGGAAGCCGTCTCTCGGCGGAGGTCCGGATAATGTGGGAGGACGCCACGCGGAAGGTCGCGGCCATGCCTTTTAGGGCCTGAAAGAAGTTCTCGCGTCACATGGGGTGCTTTTCGCCGGTGACAACCGTCAGAACGTAGATAAAGCGTCCTGAAGTATGTAGCTTTCCATCGCTCAGACCGATCACCGACTTGCCACGACTCGTGCCGCCAGGACTTGCGCCAGCTGACTTGTCATTCGACTTGCTGCAGTCTCTGACTAAAAAACAAGGGGTGTTACAATGCTGAAGAACAGTTTCCCGCGAGCTTGACTCGTCTCCACCGATTAGGCAGACCACTATGGTAGATGACAAATCAGCTGATGCAGTCTTGGCGCTGGAGCGCCGTTTATTATCTGGGCTCGGATGATTTAGAGATCAAGGGACTCGATTTGTATTTTCCCTCCCGAGTAGGGGTTTTAATCCTGGACCGCACCTTCATAGCGTCCTCGTCCGTTACGTCGTCGCCGACGTAGATGATCCTGATCCTCTCGCTCCAGTCCAGCCCAAAGGCGGTTCGCAGGATGTAGATGGAAGCTCGACCTTTGTTCCACTCGACCGGAGGCTTCGCTTCTATGGCGCAATGCGCGGTGCAGGCCTTGAAGCCGGCGGATTCGATCAGCTTTTTCGCCGTCTCGACCATTTGAGGACGACGTTCCATCGGCGTCTCGCGATAATGGAAGGTCAGCAAAGCACCCTTGTTCTCCACCCAGGCACCGTCCTTGCAGAGCTGAAGGAAGTTCCTCGATTATTACCTCGACTTCGACTTCTCCAGCTCCATTTAACGATTTGCTCCACAGCGACGAGCGAAATTACAGTCTTCATTTTACTCTTGCACCGTAGCGCAAGGTAGGAGGACAATAAGACCATGATCTAGCTCATCGATAGTGACCAGAAGTTCTAAAAAAAAATACTTCACCTGATCTTGAAGAGCCTGCATCAGACCGGCGACCTTGTCCTCGAATTCCCCCGGCATGGGGTGAACGAATTTGCTCCCATCCGGGTGCAGGATCTCGAGTCCATGATTTCCTGCATACGTGATACCGTCTATACCGACCATCGACTTAACGTTATTGACATTCCTCCCGGAGATGATCGCTATGTACACGTCCGACATGTTGGACAGTCTCTGGAGAACGTTCTTGGTCTCCTGTGGCAGGATAGCCAGATCGGGATGCGTGGCGATCGGGGCGAGGGTGCCGTCGTAGTCCAGCAGTAGGGCCAACTTGTGGTTATCGCCGATATACCTAGGGGACATGTGGCCATCACTGGATCGTTACCCGGCTTTCATCATGAGTCAGGTCGCATCCGCACGCGCGGGCCCGCCGGCTTGCAAAAGCATTCCAAGTTAGCTTCCCCCAAACGAGGAGTCCTCGTCGACGAGGCGCCCCCGGCTTCCAATTATTAATTTCGATATCGTGGCAGACCTGCTTGACCAGCCCGATTCAAACGACGTCCAATAAACGTACAATGGTCAGCGAAAAAAAATTCAAAACATTTGCGAAAAGATGAGAAACCGCACGATGGGAAGTACCATTGTGAATGAAACGCGAAGAGCGGAATCGGTGCTGGGGGATTTCATCCAGGATGGAAGAAGGTGGGCGAATTAAGGTAGATCAGGTTCGTTGAGCAGGTCTGCTTCGATTGCATCAAGTCGTCTGAATAATCTCTCTGGTATTTCCGGCACTGAAGTGTCATCAGGCACCATGCATCTCATTTAGTGTTTCTGCACCCACGCGGCGACGTACCCAAACTCATGCTCATCGCAACTTAGCGAGAGATTGTCACGTCTTAGAAGAAGACAATTGTTAAAAGTCGCGGATAGAAATTTCGGTTCAACAGTCAGGATTATCGAAATCGGTCCCTCGACTTCGCATTTCACCAGTACGCGTAGTTGCCGGTTCGAGTATCGACAAAATGACGCCCTCAAACAGCTTCCTCGGTCAAGGAATACCGTGAAAATTATTACACCTGCTTTTGAATAAATCGGGCGAGTTACTTGATGGTGAATCTTTAAGGTCTCTGTGTTCGTGTATTTCCCGTGGTAGCGCATGCGCTGGTCGGGCCCAGTCATGCACAGGAGGTACTTCGAAGGCACCTACTTGCTCAAATAATCGTCAAAGTCGTCCATGGTAACGGGCTGCATGGTGGTGGCGCCGACGGAGTCCCGCTCCTCCAGCGACCCCATGACCTGGAGGAAGGACTTCATCCAGTAATTGACGTTGTAGATCCTCTCGCGACGACGGAGGTGGTTCATCCTCAGGGTGCGCTCATCCTCGGGCATGGTCAAGGCCCTGAAACCGTCCAGAAAAATCGTAAAAATCACCATCACCACGTTCTTCATCACCTACCCCAAGACAATACTCGCTTGTAACCTCAGGATTTACCTATGAATGACTTCAGCAGCCTCATCGATCTCGTATGGATTACAGATCAACGCCTCGTGCATCATCTCACCCGCGCCGGCAAACGGCGAGACTATCAATACACCTGGTGGAGTGTTTATCTGGCAACCGACGAACTCCTTGGCGACGAGGTTCATCCCGTCTCTCAGAGGGGTGACCAGGGCTACCGCAGCATCTCTGTAGAAGGCTGCAAGTTCATCTTGACTGACGCATCCGTAGATGTAGCGAATCGGCGACCAGTTGGGGGTTGTGAAGCGGCCATTTATGCAGCCGATCAGCTGGTCTATCTCCAGCTTCAGATCCTGGTACTCGCGCACGTCGGTTCTAGATGGCACGGCTATCTGGAGCATGGTGACCTGGGAAGAGGAATTCCCGAGTTAGAAGCATGGTCCTATGTATCATGGATTGAGAGAGACGGGGGAATCACCTGTTCTCGGTGTTCGGGATGTTTCTCGAGGAGCATCTCGAATGCCTTCAGTCTATGTACGAGACCTTTGGTGTAGTCGAGGCGATCGACCCCCAAGACGATCTTCTGATTGGTCAGCATTACTCTCGTGGCAGTCTCGGCCAGCGCGACGAACCTATCAAACGGAATTCCAATTGGAAGTGGTCTCACGCGTACCGTGCGCCCGCCGTGCTCGACCAAAAGGTTCTTCCGATCCACCCTGCAACCCAGACACCTTTGACAGCAGTCGACGAAGTTCAGACAGTAGTCCTGAATGTGGAAGCCGACCATGTCGCAACCTGACGGGCATCAGATATAGATAGATCAAGGAAAACTCTTGGAAAAGGTGGCCGATTAACGTCAGGTGGTAGCCCCTCGTGGCTCGGATTTAGTGACGAGCAAAATCGGTCCTAGTCTTGCCCTTGTAAAAAATGCAAAGCCACCAAGATCGACTTTGCCCATCGCTCATTTTCAACCACCTGATGTCAGAGTTGTGCAAAACCTCCGAACGATCCAACTAGGTCGAGAGTAGGAAAATCCTGGAAGAGGCGTTTCCTCCTCGTTCGCCGTTCGAAGGCCTTGCCCAGTTCTAGCTGGTGTCTCTGGACGATTCAACGAAGAAACGGATGCCCCTTACCCAGCATCCCTTGGAGGATCTCATCCGCCCAGGGGAAGAGCCTGAAGATGTCCCACGGCGGGAATGGAATGTGCAGGAAGAAGCCCAGCTTCAGTTTCAGATTCTTCTCCTCTGCAGCTTGCCTGATCCAGTTAGCGGCCAGCATCAGATGATAGTCATGGATCCACACCAGGGGGGTCCCATTCGTTTGACCTTCTTGATCCTTGCTGATATGCTCCAGCGCGCCGACCTATGCGACAAAAACGTTAATAAATCGATTAAACGATTATTACACGCGCAAGTTCGAAGGGGAACGCGAGACCTTGGCGGGCGGGACGCATCATCGACTCTACCTTCAAGGGGAATGAAAAAGTGTCATCCGAGGGATCGATCGTTCATAAAAAATTATTCCCGAACTGGGTGCACCGAATCGTTTCAAACTTTACAACGTGAAGAAAGAGGCTAAAGGGGAGGCCCTAAGACCCATGAAATTTAATTTCTTATTCACATTCAGGGTAGAAATTCCGAAACGATTCGATACACCCTCGGATGCCACTTTCACGCCACCTTAGGTTATCAGCTGATAAAAATTCCCCCTGCTCACCGTTTTCGCCGCAAATTCCTCATTGACCGCTGTATAGGCTCGCCAATGCTCGGCAATAAACGTGGCCCTGTCAGGCATCGAGTGGAAGAGAGGCCAAAAGGTCCCATTGCAGCATCCATTGTAGTAGGAGTCGAAGATGCTCGGCTCCACGTGGACCGCGACCACCTGCAAAGGTAAATAAGAGACGGTAAGAAATCGGGTATTTTAACACTCGGAGAGATACCCCGAGGCGAGAAGTGCGCAGGAAATAAAGGCGAAATAAACCGGGACGAGTGAGAAAACAGTCGGCACCGGCGTCGTAATCGGAAGTGCATAAAGTCCAGCGTAACGAGGAAGATAAGTTATTATTGGTGGAGAGAGAGAGAGTCTTCTCGGGCCGCCATTAATTGCTCATTATTCGTCGACGCTTATTATTCCCGCATAACACCCCGATTCTTTATTCCTTTATTTCCCATCTCGTGAAAACAGTCCGGGACAAGCGATTGACGCACGCTGTAATCTTCGGCCCGATAAGAAGACGCTTTCCTCGTCGCTGGCTATATACACATGCATCGCGTGGGATGCATCTCGGAATGCACGTTTTTATCCCCTCGAGAAAACAACGTCCACTTTCAGCGGGTGAAATTTCACCACCTAATTATTCCCGCGATTTGAAATAATTAATTGCACATGAGATTACAATCTGCACCGGGAAGAAAAATCCTGGGACGCGAAAGCTTGACATGGTCAAATTGGGTAACTTCGGCCTTATTATCGCTTATCGCTGTTCCAAGCGTATCTTTATTGTCCGTCGTGACGATTACTGCTCTATTTGGGGTAATCGACCGCGTTAATTCCGAGTTAACGTCTTAGGAGGAGGCAAACACGAGTTTCGAGTCCCTCTTCAAGTTCTCCAGGTTCTCCAATTATTTTTTTTTTTTCTCTCCACGTTTTCCAACCACTTCAAGGAATGTCGATCAGCGCTATGGAGGGGAATGGATCTCCGAATTATCGATGGGAATCTATTTTTTTCATTTCTCGGGACTCAAGGCACCTGTCTTGGCCAGGACCCGCGGTACGGATCGGCGTTATCAGGGGCTCGTGATAAGGTGCTGCGCGGAAATAGGGATCGAGGTCGCGCTTCCCTCGTAGAGTGCACGGGCTTGGATAAAGACACAACACTGACCTTTCTCTCGCCCAGTGACAATGTCAGCCCGATATTCGAGGTCTGCGCGGTTGGTACACGGTATCGCGAAAAAATGGCATAATCCGAGATAGAGGCTCCGCCTTGTCCCAGTGAGAGAAGGAGCATCCCTATTTCGAATCTGAGCCTAAGTACGATTCCAGTCGAGGGACCATTAACTCAATAGATCATGAATCTTAATTCCGGTAGTCACGTGGAAATCAGCTGGGAATCGTTGGAAATCACCGAAAACATTGTCAGAATTTTAATGCCGACCGTCAGACGTTACCGAATCACGTTGTTTATCATATTAAATGAAAATCAATCGGACTTCCGAGTGAGTAACCTCTCAAGTTCGGTATTAAGTTATTTTGTTATTTAATTGTGATAACTTTCCGGGCTCAAGACTGAAGGTTCTGATGAAAATGATAAATCAAGGTGATACCATGACCAACCAGGTGTAGGGATTGACCGAAACGCGCGGAAAATAGGAGAAGAGATTTTTCTTTTTATCGGGAAAGGGCAAATCGAAGGGCTTGATAAGGCCCCTCGATTTCCCAAGGATGGCGAACGCTCTATGTGAATCACCGTTATCAGTCGGGCAAGGGCCAGGCCACGGATAACAGCCCGGTGTACGCACGTCACCCGGACGATAACCTCGACCGATCTCCTCGAAGACGTGCCAATCGGCGAGTACCGCCGGTTCCGTCCTCGTGGACGGCACCGGGTCACCCGGGGTCGCCCGCCTCCGGGAGCGAGATGCATCATTAGGGTGTCAATGATGCCGACTGGTCGAAACTTCGATAAAAAAAAAAATGAAAATATGTCGCCTATTTCCGGGAACGAGATGCACCTCGGGATCTTAATAAGGTCGACTAGCGATGGCCAACAATTTTGGAAAAAAATATATATATATATCACTCGCGTTCAGGTGCGAGCTGCATCGTTAGGACCTGGAAATTTCAATAAGAACCTGAAATTAAAAAAAAAAAAAATTATACAAGACTAAAACGCGGGTCAGGGAAACACGTTCGAAGATGACGTTCTCCAGGTCGATTGACCCCAACACCGGAAGGACCCCAGAGGCCTCCGAACAGTGCAGCCCGGAGAGACGAACGGTGAACATCGTTTGCACCCGAGCGGCGGTCAAAGTTCAAAGATCTAATCCGATAAGTTCGGATAGGAAGTCGAAGGCCGTCCCGGAGCGTGTCCCTCGATACTCCGGATTGTTGAGTCTGCCCCGATATATCTCGTACACCACTCCACCATGCACACGTATTTGCGCAGTTGTATCTATTTGCCAGTAAAGCGATACATCGGGCCTGACGTAAGAGACCAAAATGAGGGTCCTCCTTGGGCCATGGGTCCAATTTTAAATCCACATCCAATCCGGAAGATGTCGAGCGATTTCACGTCCTCTAATCGATCGATCGAAGCGAACGTCACCTGCTTTCCGATTTTCGAGGCGAGGTCGCTAGAATCTTGAATGAACACGAGGGGCGCATTTCGTGACATGTCAAACATTTACGCAGCGACGTCACCCCGTCGATACTTGGCATTATCTCCCCCCGTTATCCAGTCGCCACCGGTGACGTTTATGTGCTTACGCTTTGCGCAAGATTGCCGATGAGAAAAGAAAGGGAAAAAAAAAATGAAAATCGGAAAAAAAAATCGGCCGAGACACGGATTCGCAAATTCCCTCGTGATATCACACGCACTCCACGTGACGCGAGTATCTTTAGACATTCGGACCGATTTTATGCGACCACCTGGCTCCAAAATCGCTTAACGTTTCGCAACGTCGTGCTTGTACACTCGGACGGGTCGAACTATTTTTACACGCGTGGACAGACGATTGCTCGTTGGCCATAGATCTAGCTCGACCCCGAGTGAGTTTGTGAAAAAAAAATATATATTGCACTAAAAAAAAAATTAGTATAAAAATTCAAGTATTTAATCGTTAAAAATTAATGGACTCTCCATGCCAGATTATGCAGAAAATCGGATGAAAATTGGTATAGAGGTTGGGGAAGCCAAGAAGATCGAGCATCGCCAGAGATTCGTATCGTTCATTCGGTCGACCGTAGATTCCAATTATATTTCCAGCGAATAAAAAAAATCTATCTGACGCAGGATAATTCCCCTTGCTCGGTGTGCATTTTCATGTAGTCTCCGTTGGATAACTTCTGTTTACGAAGGGGAGTGTAAAATCGAAAACACACAGGCCCGACGTAATTTACGAGGTCTATCGGGGGAAGAGTACGTTTCGTCCGCGCGTAGGATTGTAGATAGCCGGGTGCAGAAGGGGGATCGGTAACTATACGTTTCGATTTTGCAATCCACGATAAATCGGGCATTCTTGAAAACAAGACAGAAGCGGATATTATACCGCCTCTAACCGGCCCATCGGGACGAAATAAGAACGGCATAGTGGGACATGTTAAGAAACGCGGTATACAGAGGCGAGCTGGGCTATCGCGCGATTCCCTGGCCCGGCGATAAAAGGAAGAGCTCTTCAGGAAAGCGATAAACAATATTGGCTAACATTTAAAGGATATTTGCCCCGATGGACCACCGGGTGCCTCTATCTCGGCTCTGGTCCGCGTTTTTTCCCCCGAGTGTTTTCTCCTCTTTTTTTTTTCCCTCTTTCCTCCTTTCTCCTCTTCCCGATAAGCCGGCTCTGAAATATCAATTGCGAAGTGAGTCGAACAATTCGGTATCACCTAAACGAGCGTTATCGAGTATAGAGGTCAGTCTCGAGGAAGCGAGTTCCAGACGACGTTAGACGATCTAAACACGCGACGTAGGGATACAACGAGACATTGTATCGAAGAATAATCGAGTCTAATGGATCCAGCCCTGGGACGAATTAGCATACCATAAGTCTCGGGCATTTCGGGCATAATCGCGCTAATTTAAACCGATGCAATATGTATATGCACTCGCGGAAGATTTCGCAGGGAAGCGTCCCGGGATCGGCGATAACAAGAGAAAAAGATAAAGTCGTTTGGTATGGAGTCACGTAGGTTGAGAAATCGTATTTTTCGCCGCTCGACCTGGGAGGGACTGGCACGGTGATGGACAAAATCGGTATTGAAAAACGTAAAACAGAAGTGCAAGGTCAAGACCAAGACCAGGGCCGATTTTTGGTTGTCACCGGACTCGCAAAAACCGAGTCCACCATCCCCGAAGACGGCGTCTTCTAGGTCTGCCAATCAGGAGGTGACGGGAGTCAATTATCAGGTTGAGGGATAACTTTCGGCCGTGTTTAACGTAACTTAACGTAATTAAAATTGCGGGGACCTATTCCTCAAGCTAGTTTGACTAGACTGGCTCGCCTTGGCGACGAATAGCAAATTTCCTCTCGATATCAAGGCCATGGTCGGAACGCACGTTTCCTTCCTTTTTCTCCGTCGACGGCGCAGGTGTGCAGCTGCAAGTCTAATGTAATAAAGGCCAGATGAAATTACAGCAAATGTCACCGGATGTACCCGGCGTCCCACCAGAGGATCGATCAGCCGCCCCACGAGGGGCAGTCTTCATTTTCGCGATTTACCGATAAATCCCAAAGTCGAGGAAATATTAAAGGGCAGCCAGCTCACCTTACTTGAAAGAAGACCAGCAGTAGGTGTTCGGTCGTTGGGGTCGGATTCAGGGATCGGCTCGTTGGGGTTCTCCATGTGCATCCCGGGCCATCCAACCCAGACCCCATTGCCGCTGATAACAACAGGTGCAACAGCGGTAACAAGTCCACCGGCGCTGAAATATTCACCAACGATTAGCCCAAGTGACGATTAAAGAGACCCAGAAAACCGACACCTCTGCACAAGGTACTCCGATTTGATCACCGGTCTCGCGTTTTCCATTTAGACCCGTCTAACCTTGATTTCGAATACAGCTCATTATCACAATTACGAGCGTTATCGTTATCTCAAACTGCAGGTACAAGAATTACCCCGAATAAGTACACGGCGACTTTCGGCACGGAAATCGAGCACCAAGCTTTGATAAATATTACTTAATAATAAGAGAGATTATCATAATGTTGCCTATTGTTGAATTTCCCACATGGATCCTCCAGTCCCTGGAGGAGTCGTTTTGTCTCCGTTCTCCATTGGGCACGTGAACGAATATTTAAGAGCGATAACCGATGACCTCGACTGGCACAGTTTCTGCTGTTTTCGTAATTATTTATCGTTTCACTGGAGGGGAAACTCGCATTGCTCTCTCAAGCCTCTCCGAGCACCACAACGCGAGAGATCACGCGTCACACGTGTGATAACTCGCGTTACGTCGGAAGGGCCATTATCTGGGTGGTCTCGATTACGAACTCGGTGATAATTGCACCGATAATTGATACGCTGGGTTTCTTTTCTCAGCCCCCGAGACCTCCCCAAGGCTGATCGAATTCGCGCCCGAAGCGAGCCGCTCGACCTCGGTGCATCCACGAGGATAACCTCGGCCACCTCGATTTCCTCGAAGAATTAAACTCGATCTGGAAAGTCCCCATCCGCAAAAAATTGCCTCGAGACACCTCCCCATCCTGGGCCGAGTCAAAGGTCACCGCTGATCGCTACGGTAAGCAATTGAAAGGTACCTGGAAGTAATCAAACATGAACTCGCAAGTTTGATCACAAATATGAAATACCTTCCGTGCAGAAAGAAGATGTGAAATTAAACACCAACAATGCCGACAATAATTGGACAATTTCGACGATAACGTATAATCACGTTAGTGTTGGTGTATTGGGGAAACGAGAAATAAAAATAAATTTGACTTTTCCTTGTTTCACATGCCCTTTCTCGTGCTCTGACGTTTCCACGCGGCGAGCACGTGCACCGATTATGCGGCGAACCTAACCCAACATAACCTAACCTAGTATACGGGATACTAACCTGGCCTTTCGCTCCAGCCTCCCGGTCGCCTCGTTCCTCTTGAGAACGAACGGCAACCTGTTGCTGACGACGATCATGCTGCCGTTGGAGCTGAAGCTTCCCGGTTCTGTAGACATGACGGCGGCGAGTCGTCACTCGAGTCGCGGCTTTTGAGAGCGTTCTCGAATCTCCCGGTGCGTCTCCCACCCTCTTGCCCGCGTCCCTCTCTCTCTCTCTTGGACCACGCGAGGAGTCTCGTGACAGGTGTCGGCAAGGCAGGTACCGCGCTCGGGGTCGGTAAGAGAACCGCCGCTAGAGCCCCATCTCGGGCCCGGCTAACGGTCGCTAGGATTTGAATTTCGCGGGGATCGTAATCGACCGATTAAAGCCGCTCCGGTAGCGATCGAGGGCTCGGCCAGTGCGAGGATGCCGTGGGAGGTCTAAGGTAGGGGATAACTAGGATATTTGGGGCTAGTTTTACCGGATTAACGGGATATTCGCGAAAATTAGGACGAGGGATCGACGCGCAGCTCCGACTCGCCAAGGCTCAGAGACCCATCGTGCGCGAAGGTTGCCGCGAGGTAGAGAGAGAGAGCCGGCGATCGGGGCTCGCGGCCGATGGACGAGGAGGGGCTGCGTTGCGGTGCGAAGCCGGAGCGGCACTGGAGCGGCACCGCCGAGGGATCCTCGGTTTATTCGAGTTTGCCGAAGCTCGCTCGAATTGGTCCAAAGTGCGCCGCTGGCCGGTATCAATGAGGGCCGCGACCTCGGGCTACCCCGCGCGCCGAGCGCCGTTCCTCCCCCCGGCGACCGCGTTTCCATGGTCCGTGGGGTTATCTGCTTTATCGCCTTAATTCCGTGATAGAAATTTCTCTTACATCCCCGAAGCGGCATGTTTCGCCCTTATGGCGTGTTATCCATGTACCGCTATTCTCTCGATTTTCGATTATTTACAAGAGTCCTTCCAAGGGTCTCGTTCCGACGCACCTCGTCAATCTGCGGCCAACCCTCGGCTGACAACAGTTGATGGCAGTAAGACTTCGTCATTTTCTTATTATTATATTTCTATTGTTAGTATTGTGTGATTTTTAGTGATAAACTTCATGACCCAAGGGTGGACCAAGTGAGAATGAGAAAAAAGAAATTAATTGAACCAAAGTAAGATTTCATTGATTCAGTTCCCAGGGTGGCTGGAAAATTCTACAACCGCGCCGATGGGACGCGTCATGCGGAAATTCCCTTGCATCCCCGATAACGACGTGGGATTCTCGGTAAGCTCGATTTTTTTTTCATCTGCGATTTCATCGAAATTTCACCGGATTTTTCCTTAATTTCTAGAGATCGCCTAAGAAGGATCGCTCTTCCAGCCTGCCAGGAGGTACTCGAAAACGCTGCCAGGTGAGAGTTTCCGCATTAACGCACGCATTGGCGGAATAACGTACGTCTGATGACACAAGGGGTCGCTGGATCGCGGAAAAGTCAATGCAAAAAGCGATTAGGTTTTATTGCCGTGCTCGGCGATTGAGTGTGGCACGCGTCAGGCGTGTGGCACACGAACTGAACACCTCGTGTCTCCAGTTTATTTATAGATTTCTACGAGACGCTTCTGCGTTTAGCGAAATTATACCTCGACATGGTGCGATAACGCCTCCCTCGTGATTATTTATTTATTTATTTTTAATCTAGTAAACGGCTACGTGGCACCCGGAACTCGCCGGAAAAAGAATTCCCAGACACATAGCAAGAAATTTTATTAATTTATTGAATACTTGGAAATGAGCTGGCAACATTTTTGTTGCATTAACAAGAGAAGAAAACAAGACTACTACACCGGGGCAACACAAATTTTATTTATAGTTGCAATATTCTTTTATGTCTTTTCCCGTATACACGCGTCGAGACGCGAGATGATGGGTCGCGTATTAATTCTCTCATTTCTTTTTTATCTCCTATCTAGATCACGGGACATGAAGAAAAATGACGCACGTCAAGCGAAGCGTAGACATTGCCCGTTTTGGATGAGCTCCCGACATGAATTTCGCGTCTCGAGGTGACCCTTCGAAATCAGATGTTCGTCCGTCGACTCCTTTAATCTACTTTGCGCAATCTGGTAATTATATTAGGCAACCAGATAAACGTAGTGATCGACTCGCGACCGCAGATAAGCCAAGCACAGGACTAATTAATAACCCGTTAATGGTCTCGGGCGCACTCTTTTCACGATTTTCGTCCCCAAATATGTAATCCGTAGAATCGGCCGCATGTGTACGTACATTTGCGAAATGAAAACCGACCAGACGAAAAGTGAGCCTCGGCAAAGACTCGACGTCTGTTGACATTGTGGAACACGTGGACGTGCACCCACGTGGAGCTCGAATGGGTCGCTCTAGAAGTCTCGAGCGTGAACAATCCGTGAACAACGTTTGTTCACAGGTGTCTTGGCCGAGTGACGTATATCGAAAATATCGGCGGTATGAATATAGATAACGATATATGACGTATCCTAGGATCGTCGAATCGGCTCATTGGTCGCCGTTCTGTTTTGTCTGCAACCGGAATGTATCACCATAACCGAAATAAATCCCGTTTGGCGATGCTACATCGTTACATAACCGTGAGGCACTTAACGGGGAACTAAAAAAAGATAGGAAAAAGAAAGACGGAGAGAAAAGCAGCCTAGAAAGTCTGCGAAGATCCAGCTAGTGGTAGTGATATAACCAGTTAGCCGATTCCAGGACTGGGTTCACCTCCTCGCCTTTCTCCGCCAAATCGAATTTGCGTACGGTCGCTTTTTTGCATTGACTTTTAATTCCATTTAAATGACTTTGTCATATATCACCTATTTTTATAAATACGTCCCATGGGTCTCGTTTCACCCGTGGCGTAGAATTCCCTCATTTCTTGACTTATTTACTTGTGTTTAGGTGACGGAACGAGACACAAGGGAGGCGATTTTTCAGTTTTGGTTGGAAAACTGCCGAGTTGTATTAAGAAGAGGGAATACGTGGCACGTTGTGTCTTGCGGCGAAGATAGAGACACCCGACGATATAGTTGGCGGTGGTAAATACTCGCATCCCTTATCGGCCCTCGTCACGACTGTTTTTATTGCGGTATGGCTTGGGGCGATAGAGAGGAAGAGAGAGAGGAACAGCGATCGCTCTCCACACGAAGTTGCACTTCGTATGTGCATTGTACATTTCGACTCTGTTCTTTCCAGGCTTGCACCGGGAAAAAGTATAACAATTTTCCCCGAGGTAAACGATTGATTTATCGCCAGGGTCTGGGACTCTCATTTGTTGGGCGCACAATGGTAACGAGAGATGATCCTTCTCGACGACGAGCGAAATTCAACCGCGATATGAGATACAACGGAGTCGCGTAATCAGACCGATTTATGGAGCAACGAATTCATGTGTGCGTGGACATTACGTTTACACACAGAAGGCGTACGTAAATTAGCGATTTGCCTCAGTCGGCTTGACGGCGAGCACATTCCTCGCCTCGATGCTCGCCGGAATCGCTGGGTCCGTATTCGTGCATTTTGGAGCACGATTACGGTTTATTCCTTTTCTTTTTCTTTTTTTAAAGAAGAGCCGGGAAGTTTGTAATCCGCGATTGGCCTTGGTAAGCCAGCTCGATGGCCGATACAAGGTAATGACCCTGGTCACGTTCAGGTGCACATGTACCCGTTCTTTGCAATGGTCGGTCGAATCCACTCGAAAGACGAAAAAATAAAAAGGCGATTATGGAGCTTTTGTATTATGACTTGGCGCAAGTCTACTCTACGCGATATACTTTAAAGATCGTATGCGCGGCGTTCGCTCGTCGTACGAAATTCGAGATTTCTCACATTCGCAGATTCGCACATTCGCTCGCACTCCGGGTGCGACGACGTTCGGAAACGTCGCACATTCACGAGATTTTTCGGAGCAAAGAGTGAATTTTCTCTTGAGTGAAGCTCTCGAGACCCACCTCTACACCACCAGGGAGGTTAGAACTTTACGATGGAAGGGCTGTCGTGCGAATTATCGCAGAAAGTACGACTCGACGAGCACCCGCGGACATACACGTGCGGACCGGCGCGACCCGGTACCGGCTAGTGTTTTTATAACGAATGCTCTTTCGAGAAGGTACCACTGATCCCCCTTCCAGAAGGTTCCACGCCGAATCGATCCTCGGACCGGCCAATCGGCCCGTTTGAATCACCTGCGAGAATCCCTAGACCATGGGGATAACCTAGAAGGGCGATCCTGCCAACTCGCTATGCGTGCGCAGATTCCCGAAGGCGGCTAGTCACGTGACGCTCCACCGCCCAAAATGGCGACGGTTTAAATGGTCCAGAATTGCAAGCTCACGATATGGATAAATTATGTTATTAAGGTAAGTACGCTGATCTATAATTGTGCACGTGTTGTTTCTGGCTCTAAATGCTAGAGAAGCTCGACAGGGAATTTTGTAATCGTGGATGTCGTTACTTGGACAGCTGTTGTGATTGTGTGTTTACTGCGTACGTTGATAACGTGAAGTTTTGTACGTGCCACATGACGCGTACACGGCGCGATAATATGGGATCACATTGTTTTATACGCAGCACCGAATATTCTCGAACGTTGGTGTCGGTGTAAGGACTGACTCGTCAATGCATTCGAATAATCTGCTTTCGACGATAACACCATGAATCAGGACTGTTTGGCTCGACAACCTGTTATAGATTACGTGCTGCTGGAAGTAAATTACGCATTTTAATATCGCAATTAAAAGAACTGGAGAGTATGCGATGAAATATTATTTATTCGTGGTTGTCGAGCTTGCGATTTATTAACGCATGGGAAATGCAGCTGCGAGCAAACATTCGTCCCCCTCCTCCCAAATATATGTTTGAATTCCAAATCTAGTTCCATCGCAGGATACTTTACAGCAACGATTGGGTCTTGCGAAAAAACAGAGCGTGTAAAGGGCCATTTCAAACTCTAATGATGTTCCTATGAACATCGTAGAAGTTTTGGGTGTTTCATCGTATAGGAACCGAATTTGAACTACAACGGCTGTCTAAAATAATTAATTTTCATACGATAAGGACTGGAGAACAATTATTTATGTTCCACTTGTTCAGTTGTTATATCACTCACATTATTCAGCATGATTTTGTCCACTAATCCATAATAATTGGCTCGTTTTTCCATTTCTTCGGTACCATAGAAAATCCAATTATGGAGTCCTAGTATACGGTTCCCTTTTTTTCTTTCAGCCAAGAATACGTGTTCAAAACCAGAACTACCATATATATTTTGACCACGGGAGTAAACATGAAACCAAATATAATTTAACACTTCTTTATACTTTTCAAGGTTGCACTCAAAGAAACCTTTATCACATAAAAATGTCATCGTTCGTAACATGATATCAGTGGCTAATACCATTTCAATTAATTTATCTTGTTCAATTATCTTTTCCATTGTAACATATTCTTCATCCCGAACATCTAGAAAATAATTATCGTATAGTTCTAAGAGAACCTGTATTATTGGAATTGTGAAAATCTCTGACGGTATAGTTAGTAATCTGAAATATAAGAAATACATTCCCAAATGACAAATATAAAATAATATAACATGTTAAAACTCGTTAAATAAACTGAAAATCTTACGGTTCAGTTGCCATGTCAACTACATTCTTTGCCGATGTCCATGCTTGATAATTTATTGCTATTCTTTTATATACATTATGAATGTCTTTTTGAAAAAGTTCTGTACTCAGCGTTCTTAATTCATCATCGCTAACAGTAATATTCTTCATTATATTCTTTTCACATAATGTGTAATTCTTCTTAGAACCATGCGTTTTGAATAATTTATTACCTTTCCGTGAATACCTTTCTGTAACATATGAAAGGATATAGACATAATACCGATTCTAGGAAATAGAAGTTCGACATCATTCTCCCTTTCGAATAATCGATAGACAATAGTAATTCAACAGTGAAGTATAAGAAACGACTGTAGAACTGTCAGAATATCAGTTACCAATAGTATCCTCAACGGCACTTGGATAACTTGAATGAAGAAAAGTGCAAAGCACAAATAATCCTGCAGAAATAATCATTTCTCTAGACTAAATAAAGCGACGCCTTTAAAATACTCTTCCTTGAAAGAAGAAATCACTTCGTGCAATAGTATAAGAACCTTGACATGTCAATTAAAATTTGAAAAGCAATGTGTCAAACTTTCGTTGCAATTCACATTTGCGTTTTTAGGCACGTATCGGATACAAATTTAGACCTTTCAGTAAAGATCAATTTGGCCGAAAAGAGAAGCTCAGACAAAACAATTCTGGAAATCAGACCAACTCTGTATACATTTATATCAAACTAAATAATAAATTCAAATTTCTGATGAGAGTTCGACTAGTGTTATGGAGAGATTAAGAGATTCCTCAAGTATTCATTTACGCAGGTATGTCCCGTGCCGCCATCTTGCGGAGACCACCGACGATTCATAGTAAAACAAAAGTAAAACAAAATCTGCAGTAGGTAACATCTTTCAAGTAATTCACGTTGACACCAAGTGTGGATCGGCTTCGAGGTGCAGCCGTGAGATGTTACTTTTCGACAATAGTAACTATATAATGACGCATAATGGAATGTTTTTGACAAGTTAATTAACCCAGAATCATAGAAAAATAGAAATTAATCGAGCAGCCATCTTGTCTCCTTTCCGTCACGAGAGTTCGAGGTGTCACGATGGGATTTTATTAATTTCTTCCCGTTCTTTGCTGATTTAATATTGAAAATTACCTAGGATAATATTTTTTCTTAATATTCATCGAACAACTTGACTATTCAGTGTATCAAGTTCTCGAAAACATTAAACAATAATTTTAACAGCAATTATGCAGCATTTGCGCCCGTCATTTGAGTAAATCTACGGCTCGGACTTTTCGATGCTTCGGCATTGGCGGATCCCACACGACTGTTTTAATATATTTTTGTCTTTCTTTCCTTTAATCGACGTCGGTTCAGTGGTTTTCTTTTGGGCGGTACGAGGTCGACTCAAAGTTATTTTTCTGATACTTTTGGAGACTTCCGGTGCGGTCTTTCGACCGCTCTCGTCTGGTTTTTCCTTCCTAACTGGTTGCTGCGATTTACCGTCATTGAGATGCATCCTCTGCAATGACTGCAACGACTGCATAGTTTCGAAAAGTCCAGTCATTCTCAAGTCCTTAAGATCCTTCGATGCAATTCCTTTGACCCCTTCTTTTCTACACTCCGTGCTTGACTTCGGTCTCGGCTTTTTCCCCAGGGTATCAAATTTTCTCACTTCGCAAGATAAATCCGAACGACAATTTTTTCCCGAATTTCCAGCCATCAGGGATATTTTCGCATTCGACGGATTATCCGATTTCCTGGCAGTCCCTGAATCCGAAAATTTTTTTAGGATTACTTTCACGGGTACCGATTGTCCAGGTTTTCCTCCTTGGTGCTCTTTCCTCGCTTCGATCACCTGGAAAGAAATTAAATCTCGTGATAATCTCACCCACTCGGCATTAAAATGCATCTCACCTTTTTATCCTGTCCCAATCGATGCGCCCAAAAGTCCTGGAAAATCTTTTTCCAGTCCTTCGTCATTTTTCTCTCTCCAAGTAACACCTTAATTCGCATTTCCTTCTCGCACATAAATTCCCAGACCAAGTTGTCGTTGAAAACCTGAAGGAATTATCATTAATCATCATTCCATCTTTCATGAAATAAATGAAATTAACCATGCACTTATTTTTCACTACCTTATAGGCCTCTTTAGAGAGTAAGGTTAAGTTAACCACATCTCTCGGGCTGAGATATTCCAAAATCCTTCTGATTACATTTTTTGCCAACGTCAATAAAGTCCCTCTCTTCCCAGAAGCAATATTCCGCACGCGTTCCGCCAAGGACTCACCTGCGGAACGGATCATTAACGTCGCTCTCGTTTTTCACCGCACCAGGTGCGAACCTGGGCTCGAAACTTGATACGAGTTTTTTTTTCCCTCTCTCTGTCTCTAATTTATATTCTTCACTTTTTAGGATTACCGAAAACGCGTTGGATGTCGTCCTGAAGGTTCCTGGCTTGGTTGAATTCCTGGAATTTGGCGACACTCGTGAGGGGCGCGATATGAGGACCGTGGGATACTCTCCAGAGGTAGAGGATCACCTGGCGAACAAGAGTTGCTAATTACAGGTTAAAGTGTTTTCCCACGATAATTCCCACCTCGTCTCCGAGGACTCTCAAGCCGTAATAATCCCTGCTAGGAGGAGGGGCGACGGAATATCGCTCTAAATATTCCACTTTCTTCCTAGAATCGGAGAAACGACGGCGAACCATCCTGCGTTCCCAAAATAAAGAGGGGAACCGGGAATTCCCACGAGAGCGGACTCGAAGGATCTCAAAAATGAATGTCCACCAGTTCCCCCTGAATTTGCTCCGATTTTCCCAACCGAGTGTCCGCGAAATTCGGATTAACCGCAAGAAGTAACAACGATTCCGCAACTGTCGGCTTGTAACGCAGGAAAATATCCGCAAAGAGCCCGTCATTGAATTCGCAATGTTTTATTACAATATCTCGATATGAAGAGAGGATGAAGATAAATATAGAAATGTCGAAGTAAAAATGGAAAGTCAAATGACGCGTCGTAGCGGTAGTTACAATATACAAGGAAAGGCTATACAGTAATATCACAATGCATGATTTATAATCCTCGTCGAAGGTCTCGAGTAGATTTACGTGTATATTTATAATTAATATCGAACCCTCCGTCGCGTGGTCGAGCTCGCGCAAAGGATGGAAAGGTGCTTGGCACCTACGAGAATAGAAACACGACGTGTACCTTATTAAGAAAAAAGTTCTCCTCGTCGTCTTCATTGCATCGTCACCAGGAGCTAAGCTCGCCCGGTGGCGCCGTCGCCGACGACCTGGTAACGCGCCGGTACACCCTAAATATATATATATTTATTTATTCATTCATTTAAACGTTTGATTGCACGGTCGATATGACGTCCCTAACTTTATACAGTCGCTAAGCTTCATTGTGACCTTTAAAAAACCACATGAAAATAAATTACTATGGGCTAGCGTACGTCGAAGTCTTAGGAGTGATGGAATAGGCTTACTGTATATAAGCGTCGATATCTCGTTTCCGCTGAGCGGAGGTTCCCACCGGGAGCCCTGAAATTCGGAATAGCCGATTGTCTAGGTGTAGGGCCCTCCTCAGGGTCGCACACCCTGGGGACGCCCTCCGAGGGCCTCCAGAGCCAGAGGGACTCGGAAAGGTTTCGACGCGACAATCGTACATCGGGTGAGGACGTGAGAAAAAGAGATGGAGAGAGAGAGAGAGAGAGAGAGAGAGAATACGTAGACGTATAAGTATACACAGACGATAGTGGAAGAACGGATTTGCGTATTGCGTATCGACGGAGAGTACCGAACCGCGCGAGGCCCTCGCCCCGCGTCCTCGGATGTGTTGCAGCGCGCGGAGTCGCTGCACCGACCTCGAGTTTTCCCTTTTCAAGGTGCCACCCCCTCGTAGGATATCAATGTAAGGACGACGACGTATCCTTTATGTCCTTTGCGCGACGACGACGGAGTTTTCGGTAATGTCCAGGCCGTCCCTGCATATGCTGGCGGAGGTGGTGGTGTCCTCCGAGGGCGCCCTAGCGACGGTCAGCTGGCTCTTCTCCATGTGGTCGAGGGTCTTCTCGATAGCCCTGAGTCGTTTCTCCAGACTAGTGGTGCCCAGAATGCCGACCTGGAGCTGGGGTCCCAGAGGTAGGATCGCCAGGAGCCACCATGCCCAGGCCGGGCCGTCCGGAAGTCGGGGCCAGTCATCCTCCGTGTCGGGCATTCTGCCGAAAACTCGCTGGATTTCCGTCTGCTGCGAGGAGGAGACCGTTCCCCACCATTTCCTGCCCTTCGACCGCACCTGGGAAGGTGGACGAACCGAATTTAGTAAGCGAGTTAGTGCTAATTAACGCGCAGGATGACGTATCTCAATTTACAGGCGCACCTTATCGTGGAGTTGCAGCACGCTGAGTCGCTCGGTCTGCACGGGCGAGTCCCTGAGGAACTCCACCTGCGCCGTGTCATAGCCATCCCGTTCTCCACCCGAGAGGATTCGAAACCTTCTGCCGCCCACCGTGCCGAGGATGCTGCATCCGTCCTTTAGAAGAACCCTGTCCTTGATCTCCAGCATGGTGCCGTACTCGGCGTACCTGGAAGCGAAAATTTCCGTGTCTTTCCCTCGGCGACCTCGACCTTGCCTAGTCCACTGCGAGTCATCGATCAAGTACCTCTTCGTCCCGGTGGCTTCTCGGTTCAAGCAGGCCGCAATCCCGAACTGGCGCACCCCGCTCTCGAGGCACCTCCTCACCATCAACCTGTACCTCGGCTCGTAGACGAAGAGCGGACAAGCGACGCATGGAAACGCCGTCGTGCAGACGAAGACGGCGATCTGTTCGCTCCCTACGAGTCCCAGACCCTGGACCAGCTCCAGGCGATGGCTGGCCGTTCTGGAGGCGTACTCGGCAGGTGCGACCATCTTCAGGGCCCTCTCCACGAAGTCCGTCACCGTCTTCCGACTGCTAGCCAGGTACTGCAAAGGGGTAGAACTTTAGACACCACTTTCTTTAAAAACCCTGAAGATGACGTATCGACTCCAGGCCAGATTCTTACATCGGCGAGCGAGGTGACGCAGAGAGGACACGCCGAGGAGTAGTCCAGGCAGCGATCCAGACACATCCAGCAGTACGTGTGGCCGCAGGGGGTGGACACCGGTCTCCATAGGAGTCTGCAGCAGAGGATGCAGTCCAGGTCGCCGCGTTCCCCACCACCCACGGGTGGCAACGGATTCTCCGCTGGCCTCGTCTCCACTCCTGGAACAAGGAACACGAGGTTCGATGTCACACCGTCCATACCTCCAGCTACCACCCTGACTACTCACTTTTGAACTTCTCCATCTCCTGGAAGAGCCGGTCCAGCGTCGCTCCCAGCTTCCCCGTGTCCTGGGGCACCACTCCATACTGCGAGCGCCTGCATATCGTCTGTAAACAATTGAATTCGATCGTCGGATCGTTAAGTCATCGCGGAATAAACCACCTGTACAAACGCCGGCAAGAAGTCCACGCACCTGAGCGAACTCCTCCTCGTCGCTGCTGTTGTCCTCGCAGTCGGAGGTGTTCAAGGCCGTTCGCCGATGCCTGAGATCGGAGGGCAATGCCAAGGGCAGCTGCAAAGAGGGTGGAGGTGGAGGCGGCGAAGGGGTCGGCGACGCCGGAGACGTCGACAAGGGATGTCGGCGCCTCTCTCTCCTGAGGCGAGGCGTCGACCTGGGCACGTTGTAAGGAGACACGGCGACGCTTCGACGTCGCAGGCTCGACGTCAAGACACGGTGGAGTACCTGCAAGGTGAAGGCATACCATGGATGTAAACGTATTTCCACAGAAAAGTGTACATATTGTTTAAAAAAAAAAAAAAAAAAACTGGCAGATATAGGATGCCTTCTTACCCTGGTCACCTCGTGGCGCACCTGCACCTGGGGATGGCCATCGATGGCGACACTGGTGCAAAGGGCGAAGAGGGCCTCCTCGTGTCTTCCTAGGGCCGACAGGGCGACTCCTCTCCTATAGTGACCCTGTAACCAGTGAAAGAGTGAGAAGCGCCACGGAAAGAGAGAACTTTGGCTCAAAGGCGAGCCTCGAGTTCTCTCTTCGTCTCTCTTTCTTCCTCCTCCGCTCGGCCTGGCTCGGGTTCACGGCCGCTCTCCGAGCGTCGCCCTCGGGCGCGAGCGAGACGCAGCGGCGAGGCCGCAGCGGACGTGGGAAAAGCTCCCGAAATATTAGGTGTAAGGGACAGTCCTGTCGTCTTCATTCCAAATAAATGTACCCGTTCGAAAAAGGACATTCCCTTAAACCTAATCAATTCGACGGACTCGCCCCCTAGAAAAACGCGTCCCTTAGAGACACCGAGCGTGCGGATTTAGGCCGGATAAATATCCACCCAACATGACCGTGCGGATTCGGCGACGTAAACCGCACGCAGGACCGGCAGATGTTCGGCACCATCTGTATACATCGGTTTGTTTTAACCTCTGCGACACGTTCCACGCCGGCGGCGGAACGGAGTATCGAGAAAAAAAAATAAAAAATAAAAAATAAAACAAAATCCACGCGGTATCTCCGTACATACGAGAATATGCATTTACATTTTTGTACCCGCCCACCCCGTGCACTCTTTCGCCGCGCCGATAAACATAGCTATCCTTTTGCATTTCGTTATCCCTCATTCTGCGATACATACCCCGAGAGGACAGATTAACTTAACGAAGGAAATATCTCGTTAATTCGAAGGATAATTATTTCACTCTAATAAATTGTAATAAATCGTGACATTTGTGTTTATCCCGAGTGAAATTATTCTTCGAACCGACGAAACGTTCTTTGGTTCGATACATGTTTTTTTTGTTCCCCTGAGTGTATATGTGCATGTATATACATATACGTATATATATGCACCTACATGCAAGCAGACGTATCTCCTCACCTTGGCCCAGTCCGGACGCAGCCTCACCGCGTGGTCGGCATCCGCGAGGGAGGCCTGCGGCCGATTCAGCAGAAGCAACGCGTGGGCCCTGTTGCTGAGATGCAGCGGACTGCTTGGCGCTGGAACCGAAAACGTACCTCTTAGTAAAGGGTTTGCGCATGCCTTGGATGCATGCGGACTAGGTTAGGTTGGGCGGTGCCACCCCCGGGGAAGGGGGGGTGCACCGCCTGCCCCGCATTTCGGCGCGGCCGGGCCGACCTTACGGAGTACCTCGCGGACGCGGAAAAGTGCACCGGCGCAGAAGTACGCGGCCGGGTGACCGACCTTTACGTAACCGGCCGACCATTTGCCGCTGACGTATGCCCGATCCGACGCGTCGCCGCAGCTGCAACGCCGCGGCGGCCCGGCGCGTAACACGCGCCGCCGCATGCGGTGGGACACGCGACCCGCCGCGGCGGTAACGACGTCTAGTTAAATGAGCTAGACACGTTTTAGGGAATACCTCACAATTAGCGAGAAGGGATCAGCGATACTAATCGACGTCGTAAACAGTTAATAACAATATGTATAAAGGAGTATCGCTCCGAGTAGCTGCGTGGCGCGATAAGCTCGGCTTATCTCGTTTATCTGGTTTATCCGATTGATCTAGGTAGTGAGGAAATTCAGAGACGTTTTCGTGATTTTCTCTTCCTACGTGCATGGACGGTTTAACGGGGGAGTTAAACCCACGGTGTAAACGCATCTCCGGGGGAGTCGATGTCGCCGCGGCGTAATTACGCAATCTCCCCCCGCTGGTTGTGGGTCCCACTCGGCCGGTCTAAATAAAATTTTGGAACCGCGTCCGACGCGACTACGCACCCGCAGCGTCGCGCGGTTTTCCCGCTCCCTGTCGCCGTTAATCGGCGCCAGCAGCGACTCGGTCGCGTCCGCGGTCGAAGTTGGAGCTACCTTTACGTAACGGCGGGACGCGACGTTCGCCGCGCGGAGTCGAAGGAGAATTATAACGTGCATCGAGTAGACGAAATAAACGCGGGACGCATTATGTATGTACATAGAGGGAATACTTAATCTGCCGGAAAAGCGTATGCATAAACGCATACACCCTGACAGATATCAATCCCCCTGGTATAAACGACGACATATCGCGTGGGTACGCCAGGGTTTACACAGAGGGTTTACTAAAACCCTTCGCTTTTCCATAACTAAGCCTCCCTCGTACCGTGCGATCGTCGACTACTCTGACCACCCCTTGATATAAAGTCGCAACGAGGGCTAAGGCGCCGTCGAATCCTCGTTTACACCGTGGGTTTAATATTAAGGCACGCGAGCCAAGGGACTGGCGCAAACCAGGCGTCGATTTACCGAGGTAGACTCGGTATTACGTAAGGTTTAAGTTCCAGGGATCGTCACGTAGACCGTGGGGGATGAAAAATCGGGGCGCGATAAGATCGATTAGCCGGCAAAGGGAGTCGATCCGCTCTCCGGCGCGTCCCGACCGGCAGTGACCGGCTGCGTTTACACGGCTCCGCGGTTAGGTCCGCGGCTGCGTTCGCGGCTATTCGCGGCCCGCCAGGTGAGGGGAGGGTCGCGCTCGGAATCGCGGCTCGCTTCACGGTCAAGTACCCCGCTTCCGTTCGATCGAGTTTCCCCGGCCGCGCGGCGTCAAGGAGGCGGCGCGACGTTTGCCGCGTACCTTACATAAGGCCGGTCATTATGTAATTGACGCAACGCCGAGAGAGTCCCTTAGGCCGGGCGACGCGTCGCTCCTTCGACGCGGACGCCCACCGCCGCGATCCCCGGGTCTGGTTAGATAACGAGGCCCGACGACTCGCCGGCTCGCCGGGCCGGTGTCAACGTAACCATTTATATAAATCTATCGTTGCGCAATCGCGACCGCGGCCGATTCTGCCGAGCGGGCGAATCCTCGCGCGCCTGCGCAGAGAGAGAGAGAGAGAGAGAGAGAGAGAGAGAGAGAGAGAGAGTACGAGTCTCGCGGCCACGTGGCCGGGACGCGCGGCCAATCGGCAACACCGCGGCTCTCGTTACGCCGCCGGTCCATTGGAGGTTAGGTTCGAGATCCTTTTTCGTGACCCCGGCAAATCCTTTGTTCATAAGCTCTCGTTGATTAACGAGGTCCCCGTTTACCTTCACTCTTTCGATGATCCGTGTACCCCAGCCGTGGAATTATAATCTGCGCCTGGTAGAAAACCGACAGACGCGACGACTCTGATTTTAATGTACGATGAAGCTGTAGTCAAGGGTTAAGTTAGGACAAGGGCGGAAGCGTAAGCCAGGGCTCAGCGCGACGCGTCCACTGTGCGCACGGTTCGCCGGCCGGCCACCAGATGGCGGGCTTGGCGGCCGAAGTTTACATAACAAGAGGTTGACAGCGCGCCGAGCACGTGACCGAGCCCCAGCGGTCTCTGGCTCGTCCGGGCGCGTTCTCACGAGTGCGAGCTCTCTCGCGACCGAGTTACGTAAGGGCCGTTCCGACGTCGGGGGCGGGATTGAGTTTTCGCCCCCGATGGGGGGAACCTCCCCCCGATGTGACCGATCCTCTCAATCGCCTTAATACCTCATTTTTTCCCAGAATAGCGGGAAATCTCGCGGACGTTTCGTCCCCAACTTCGACGAGTCGTGTCCACGAGCGTAGGGAGGGGGAGCAGCGTCGCGACGCGCGCTCTCGCGACGCTAGATATCGACCGCCGCCGAATTCGTTATTATGTGGCTTACGTAAGCCCCGGCCAGCTCGGAGGATGAAACGGCTTCGCGGGATTAAACGGTGAATCACGTCGAGCCCGAACGAGAGCCGACCACCTCGCGACGCCCGGCGTCCCCAACATGGCGGCTCCATCGCCGCTTCGACGCGCTTTCTCTCGTACACGGGAGCTTGGAGTCCTTAAATCTTAACCCGAGTTTCGGCCACCTATCGGACGAGGTGAACGGATCCGTCGCCGGGCCCGAGGTCGCCGCGACGCGGCGATAGGTCCACCCGCCCTGGTGCGTTCGATCGATCGATCCGGCGTCGGCGTCGCCTCCCGTTAAGGACGTCCGACCTCCTTCCTTTTCTGGCATTCCGAGAACCGCCACTCGCGCCACCTTGACACGGATCTCGGAGGCGTGCGGATCAATCTACGCCCCGCGGTTGCGCGACACCGTCAAATCCCGCCACCCCTCCCCGCCATGGGGTCGGGATTTCCGCGGAATCCCGTGTAGCTGGAGAAAAACCCCTCCAACAAAATTTACTCCCAGTGGCTTATCGAGCAACTTTTGTAGGAGGTACTTTCTCGTACGATGCACACGGCGAGCGGGAATCGCGGATATCTCGGGCAATGCGCGAGCGGGCGAGTCATCGCGGTCCACCTTGCAGAGCGCTAAGCCCCTGCTACGGCGCTCGCTCGTTTCTCGGCCAACCTTGGCCGCAACGCGCCGCCCTTGGAGGGCTCTCGAACTCGCTCTCCGTCCTTGGCCGCCATGGCCCCTTTTCGTGCTCACGGACGCATCCCGGTTTCCCGTGGAACGAGATGCGTCTACGTATCGAGACATTCGCACACATGTATCTCGGTATCTCCTTGACCCTAACCGCCCCCTCGAGTCGACCTCCTCACGCATCTCGATTTCGGTGTCATCCAAACTCGCCAGAATTTAATTAGTATTTTTAAATATCCCTCTCTAACCCTACCTCGATTTTAAGGCAGAACGTCCCTCGCTATCGAATCGCATTGTTGCTTATCATATAAAATCAGAGGAAATCGTTTTCACTGATTTCCAAGAGTGAATAGGTCCTCGTTTCGACTTCTTGGCGTCAACAAAGTTTTGTATTTTTGTATTTGGTATTTCGCAATATTTCTCTCTCTAAATAATAATTTTTCTAGTGAAACTATTAATTAGTTACGATGCACGATATGAGCTCGCGTTAGTCGCGCCGCATTATGCACCCGCGCGTTGCACCTGTCGTGCCGGCCGACCCTGACCCGCCTCAACTCCCGGCCTTGACCCTGAAGGGCCGCCGAGTAGGCTCGGCGACCTTGACCCTGGCAACCCATTCTTCTCTAGGTCTCATGGCCGTCCTGGAAGCAGGACGTATGTCCCGCGGTGTCACTCCGAATTTGGCAAGCGTCCACGTGGGTCCGGGGCGGGGGCGAGCGCCCGTGCGAAAAATCCGCCGCGCGAGACGCATGCGAAACGCGCGCCCGGAAGTACTCGGACATCGCCATTATCGACGCTGATAAGGGACGGAGGTGAAGAGGTCGCGTTATATAACCGATGGAAACCCGCGTTGCCCTTTCGGGGGAGGAACAATGACAACTGTGATATTAAAACTGTGAAAAAAAAAAAGAAAAAAAAGAACATCTTAAATAACGTAGAATACCTCGGTAAATTAAGACGTAAAATAGATGCGCAAGAAATGGCGAAAGGGGTGGCGGACAGAAGAGAGGCGTTCCACAGAGTGCGGCGCGTCGCGGCGTCAAGGGTGAATAATTAATCGAAACTATTCTATCCCGCGTATGCTCATCAGTCATGGCGGAATCTTAATTCAGACGAGTTCCGATCCCTTTTCTTTTTCGAGATCCGCGCGGAAATAATTTTTTTTCCTCCAAAAAGAACCCCCGACGCGCTCAGTGGGACGCGGCATGGCGTCGGGTCGGAGCGCGCGTCGGCCGTCAATCGTCGCAACGGAGTTAATTATATCCGGCTCGGGGAGCGGCGCTAGACGATCTTAGAATACTTCGGAGTAATTCATACGGACGTTCTCTGTGGAGAAAGAAATAGAAAAAAAAAAAAAAAGAAAAGAGAGACCTTCCGATCCGCCTCGAGGGGGCGGCGGGACCATGGCCGCGGAACGCTTCCGGCCGCGGCGGAAATGCGCGGGCGAAGTCCTTCCGGTGGGGTCAATGGACGCGAGATAGAGTGACCTTGAATTTCGGCTAGGGATTCTATCTTATTTTAAGAATCATTGCAAATATTCCTGACTTCTCATGGTAGCTCGTTGTACTCAGGTGGGTACAGTGGCGGACATGATCCTCATCGCATCAGTGCCGCATATTTGCAGAGAAGGCATACGTGTCCACCACAGTACACATCGAGTACGGAGTACCTATCTGGTGCAGCGGGAACTATTTTAACCTCCAATCGTACCGACTCGTTATCCTTCGTCCCGAGACAAGGTGCAACGCTCTTTGTCTTCCCGACGTCCAGAAGAGATCGTCGGTCGAGGCTGCGTTCGAACGAGTCCATTCGCCAGTCGTTCTCTGGCTCCTTATATAAGAACCGACCGGACTGGCCGTGAACTTAGCTTCGTCCGAACGCAGCATCCGAGTCCTCTCCCTGGCCGTTCCCTCCCACCGCGAAAAACAAAAGAGGGAAAAAAAAAAGAAGAAACTAAGAAACCTACTCTTCCAGCAAAAGGCAACGTATCCGATCCCCTTGCTGCAGGAATAATTGCACCTAAAGCGAAAACGTTTGCAGTTGCATCCAACGTAGATTGTAATCACCGGAAAAGAGTGCCTCCCAAATTAGCGAATAAATTCGCATGAACATAAAAAAATAAAAAAAAATAATAATAATGTTCTCTTGACCACTGAAAACAAGCGCGGGTGACGCAGGATTTTCTGCGGCTGGAAATGGGTATTGCAACAATGAATGGAATTTCTCTTGTCTCGGTAAAATAATCCGTGATTTATTTTTTTTTTTATCTTTTTCTTCTCTTGTCGGTTCAATGTAACGAAAGTGTTTCCGGGAGGTTTTGCCGGTTCATTTTCACGGATTCACGTTTGTCCTAAGTAAAGTCTCCTGTTACCCCCGAATCTCCTATTCTCCGCCCGGTGCATCGAGATTCGCCCCTTGCTCCGAAATGCATCTTCCCCCTCTCGCCCCTTCGAGGGGAGATACTCTACGGTCTTCCCTTTTCTTTTGACGGCTACTTTGGTAAAGAGGTCAATGAGGCCAGGTCCGAGGTTTTTAATAGCCGAAAAGGGGGCATACGAGTCCTCGTGTACTGGTACGGTTGAAAAGATGCGAGTTATAAATACTTATTTATGTAATTCCTCGCGAGCGGGTTCTGGTCCCTTCCAAGTCTCGCCAGAGAGATTCCGGGAGAGCCTCTCGAATTTTCCCGTATCTCATGAAAGGTACCAGCCGTTTCTCCCCAAACTTGCGAATTTCACCGTTAAAAAGAAAGAAAAAAAAACGAACAGGAAAAACTCTTAATAATAAATCTTACGATCATACAAAAATTCCACCGTTTAGAATTTTACAGTAAAGTTCACAATTTCTTTTTTTCACCGTGAAATCCAAATATTCCTGACGAATAGCTCGATGCTAAGGTGTTATTTTATATTTAAAGGTTATTATATAAATAACCCTTACGTTACATTTTAAGCCGACTGTGTCGCGTGGGCAGTTTTTCATGATTTCCCATTTCCATCGCCAATGGAGCCTTCCTCGAAATCGGCGGATTTATTCACGGGTCAGAGGGACGGAGAGTAAAGAGCGATAAGAGGCGAGGACAAGGAGAGAAAAAAAAAATTTTTTTTTATACCGCGGCCTCAGACAAAGGCGAAGAGTCGGACCTCGCTCTTGGGGGTCGTCGACCCCGTCGCTCGTCGGTCCCGCTTTGTGCCTAGCCCGTGGCCAAAGGGGTCGGCGAAATAACGCGAAAACGAGGCGACGTGAATAAAGAAGTTCGCAGCAAGACGAAAAAAACAAAAAAAAGACTCATCGAGAAATGATATAAATCGCGAGCGAATCGGAGCGCTCCCAGAAATCCCGTCGTCCACTCTAGGGTGGTTGCGCAACCCGTGGATAAATGCAACCACTGATTCAACAATAGCGTATAAGCGTGACAATGGCCGGATAAACGCGTACACAAGTGGCGTTAAGGCGACGGCTTGAAATCGGCCGATTAAAAAGAATACATGCGTGTAAAGTATATAAGAATGAATAAGAGCGTGGATATTTTTGCGATATCTGTCCCACGCGTTGCTCGAGATTCGTCTGGATTTTTTCTTTCCTCGTCGACGTCGCCTCGACACGATCGAAACTGATCCGACAAGACGTTCGCGGACATGTCCCGTTTATCAGACAATATTCGAGGGTCAATTCGCAAAGTCTATTCCCAGCGTGATATTTAATGTGCTGTAAGCGCGCGCATCTTGCCGGGGTTATTTGTTCGCGAGGAGTGACTCGGAGGCTCTTCTGGCCGGTGACAATTTCTCAGAGGCAGGGCTCCCATTCATCATCGCGAAATCCAGTTGCCGAGATGCCGAGCGAGGGAGGCTGTGTGTCTATCATGGAGCCTCGCAACGCGTGCTCTCTTGCAACCTCGTCGGCCTCCAAAACGAGGCGGAGCGAAATAGAAGCTCGGCCAAAAGCAGCGTCTGTCACCGGTAATCTCGCAAATTAAACCTGCTAATTAACCCCCCGATCCGGAGTTCGAGTTGATGTAAAATATTCTCCACATAACCCCCGGGGAAAGTATTTGGCAAAAGTACCGGATCTCATCGTCTTTCTGCGATTGGTCTCCACAATATGTATACGACTATGCAAAATGGACTCTTCTAGTAGGACGTATTTGGCGCGTGTTTCATTAGTTATATCTTAATATTCCTAGATTATGCAATTAAAGGATAGAAGCAATAGCCTGGGGTCCTGGGAGTTCTGGTGATAAACGGTAAGATCCGGGAATTCCACGGGAGGGTCCAGGAGCCGGGTTCGCGCGTCTCCCCGAAGGCGGTAAAACTCTAACCTCGCGTTTCCCTAACCGGGGTTACGTAAACCAGGATTAGCTGGTGACTCACCAAGGTGCACGGCGACGTTGTACCGCTCGAGGGCCTGCGCGTGACGGCCCTCCCTGAGGAGCGCGTCGCCCTCGTGGCGAGCCCAGCTGGCCTGGGCGTCCCTGGGCCACCACTTCTCGACGAGCCGCTGGACGAGCACGTTGGTCTTGCCGAGGGGCCCGAGGCGCTGTCCGCAGACGCGGCATGCGCGCGCAGGCTCGTAGCAGCCGCGGCAGTAGGAGTGGCCGCAGCTGGCGGTGGCGGGCTGGCAGAGGGTGCCCTCGCACGCGGGACAGGCAAAGGAGGGCTCGCAGCGGGCCCGGCGCCCGGCGCCGGCGACCTGGCGCAGGAGCGCGGCGGCGAGGGGCCGCAGTCGGTCGGGCCCGAGCACGCAGGCCTCGGGGCACTGGTCGAGCGGTTCGGCGCGCCGCCGTCTCAGACGGCGGTCGCGCGTTTCCGCGGCCGGTCGGAGCTCTTCGGGCCCGGCTTCGGTCATCTCCGAGCCTAGGCCCTCCGCCGGGCGGAGAAGTCCTCGCGGTAGAAGCCGCTGCCCGCCGACTTGCAGAAGCTGAAGCCGTTCCTCATGGCTGTCCCTACGGCGCTCGCACTCGGTCGCCCCCTCTGTCTCTCTCGCGCCCGGAGAGTATCGAGCGCTCCGCGACCCGACTCGCGCAGCCGACCACGCGAAACTGACAGCTCGCGGCGCGCGAGGTGCGACGTTGCCCGCGCGAGTGGCTGCGAGAGGCGACGAGGCAACGTGGTCTCGCTGCGCGGCAACGGAGCACTGGCGACTGGCGTCGCCGCTGTCAATGCGCGGCCGCCGCGCCGCGAGGCGGCCTCGGTGTCAGAGTGGCGGGGGCCGCCGCCTCCGCCATGGCGGCCCCGCCGCCCGGGCGAGACCCCTCCCCTGCCCCGCGCGCCCGGCGGTCGAGCTCGCGCGGATTTCGAATCGCGGCCGCCGGTACCGGCGCTCGCCGCTGTCAGTCGGGCAGCGCGCGCGGGCCCCGGCGCGTGCTGCGCTTATGTAAGCGCATATGAGCGTATATGAGCGCATATAACAATGGCGCGCTTTTTGAATTCTCCTATGAACTTACAATTTTTTTTAACCCTGTTATTATTTCTTAAATAATATATGTACGTAGTTGGGGTAATAGGCGATATGCGATTAACGTATGAATGTCGTTACGGGAGACGACGGATATTCCTAAATCCCTGTCGGCGACTCGAGGCCTCGCCTCGGCGTCCTAATTCAATTTAAATATTTATTTTCCATTGCGATTGTCGAGAGCGATACTTTATCGGCGCGTCGACGAGGTCGATATCGGCTTATCGAAGCCCATTGTCGGATAATATCGCGGTCGCGGAGCTCGGAGGTCCGCGATTAAATCAGTCGCTTCCACGTAATGCACGTAAGGCGCGTGAGTAATGCAGGCGTATGCACGCTGCAAGTGCGAGTACGCGCAGAAGGGAAGGCGAGATTAATTTTCCCACCGGACGTGGAATTTAACTTCGCATTCCTGGTTAGAAGGGGTTGAATAAAGGGAGAAAAAGGAAGGCACTTCCGGCAGGACGAGTTGCTGTCATCGAGTCATTTCTTCGAGGAAATGACTCGATGACAATGGCGGGCCAATGTCAAGGGCCTTGTGTTTGGTCAGAATCGGGAGTCACGGCTCGATCTAAAGAATTATCGATAATTCTGATCGGCCATCTTGATCTCTACTCGGGCGATTTTGAACTCGCAGAAACTCGTCCGACAAAGTATGCTTAATTTTCGCTTGCACGCGCATTTATCCGGCTACGTTACGTAAGGTATTTGTGTCGCGCGAAGAGTCACCTTAGCCGATCGCAAAACAAATTGTTAATCATCGAAATACAACGTATCGCGCATTACGTAAACCGTTAGCGAGTAAGACGCGTTCTTGCCGACGAGGAAATCGGAATGGGACCGCTCCTTGTTTCCCGGCTTTTTCTATGTACTTATTATTTATAATAGCGCCAAGTACCAATTTCGACCGGAAATTGTCCAAAACTCGTTACTCGTTTAGAAGGGACCTTCTGCAGGCGGTATTTTTAATCCTAGTCTCTTGGCAATGGACTAGACGCCCTGCGTTACATAAATAAATAAGTATAAGTATAAGTATAAGTATAAATTATAAATACATGTTAACGCATGAAAATAAATCTGCAGTTTTTTTTTTGGTCCCGAGTTATTCCTAAGTGCTCGGATAAATGGACAACGAGAGTACTTGAAGACGGTCTCGGAACGAGTCATACGGGAAAATAAGTATGAATGGTCGGCGTTGTTTATTCCGGGAGTTGCGGAAACGCAGAAACTAGTCGTGCCAAATTAACTGAATCCACCCAAGCTGCGACACACGTCCGAGCTCGACTTCTTTCCTTCCTTCGAGGTTTATCACCTATCATCGATGTTATCGATAATCGCCGCGCGAGATAAGGTATCGATTTCACCGCGGTAACGAAATCGCGCGAGCGTGATCGCCGATTTTCACCCGCTCGCAGGTATCGGCTCGCAGATGCGAAACGCTGCGTCCTGGAGGAAAACACTTGGGACAAAAGTTGTTCCCCGCATTATCATGCAGATCTTTTCTATACAACTTTTACTCGGCTTCTTTACCGTTAACGAGTAAAATCGGGCCGAAATTCGAGCCTCGCGGCCGCCGTCGCGTGTACGTGCCGGCGCCGTCACCTCGCGTTCTAAAATGTATCGACATGCGTGACTCGGTCGAATTATCGCCTCGTGGAATCGATACAGTTGCACGTATGCATCGGTAAGTGCATTCGGTCATACGAGTACTTGGTGAGTACCCAGAGCCGACAAAGTATCGACATAGTTAGCATGCTCAGAGCGAGACCCGCCTGGCTGTAAAGGTACCGAGGCGAACCGATAAGATGACATAATACCGGTTAGCCTCACCGGTTACCATTACCTTCCACGATTACCAATCGCGATTACCTCAGCGGGAGCGTCGAGAGCCGATCCGATTTCGAACGCGGGTTTCCCTGCAGGGCCCGAATCGTTCGAAACCTGACCTCGGATAACCCTTTAATCGCCCTCCTATCGAGAAATCAACTCGACTCGACTCTCTCCTCAATAAATCCCGCGATTTCTCAATCGATTTTTCTTCGATATCCCTCGATATTCCAGAAATGATTAGGTCGCTCAATACTTGCGGTTGTTCCCATCTCTACATTTTCACCATGAACCCGACCACGTGGTCTGAACCGCTTCAATTTTCTGCAGAGTAAAGCGGAAATAATGTCTAACCCCTCAGGGTAAAATTAACCCTTGAAAATAGTATGGTCCAGCCCACGTGTCGTTACACCGTGAAAACGATTTCATCGTACCGGAGAAATGTCTTCGAATAGCGTGAAAATTAATTCAGCGGTTAATCATTCCACTCGAATAAACTCGAATAAATCGGACGCGACATTAATTATTTCCCTAATTAACAATATGTTTCTTCGGTACTATTCCTAGGAACATTTCTTCGTTTCAATGAATCTCCTTTTCCGAGTGTAACTCAAGATTAACGTTACAATTGAATTTACAATTAACATTACCAGCGGTACAATTATTAAGTGATCTTATCTAACGTCCTGATATCCAAGGGAGGCGTAATCTGCGAGCAAAGTCAAACCCTGGGGGTGTCGGTTACGCCGAGAAAATCCTTGGCGACAGAATAGTCGCGCTTTGTCGCGCGTGCAGCTTACGCGACACGTGGGGCTCGCGTGGCGCGTGGCCGCAACACAGTATCTACAATGTGCGGTTCGACGGGACGCTTCGGATTCCCCCGGCGCACCGACGCTTGGCGTCGCGGCGTGCCTCGACGGGCCGCGCCTCCACCGATCGCCCCGACAGTTCGACGCTCGAGACGTCCCCGATGTAGGCGTCGCGCGTCGAGCATCGCTCTTTACTTTACTTCCTTAGCTCGCGGCCGACCGGCCCGCAAGTAGCGATCGTCGTCGCATCGATCACACGCTCTTAAAATAAAAGCACCGACTCGGTACACTCTCGGGGACTTATATGCAATGAATAAAAAGAATCCCTCCTAAATCGGTCTGCGTGTAAATAAATAGTGCGCACCGCCCGAGCTTATCACATGGCCGGAGATAAATTAGAACGATGAATCGTAACGACTTCTAACCCGCGCAGTTAAATCGGGCACGTTTACCTCGAGTTCACCGAAATCGGCGCCGATCGGTTGGGTCCTCGATTTATCGCGACTGTTGTTACGTATCAGGAAGCTAAATGAAATCTCCCGAAAAGTGCGATTATGTGAAATTAAGGCGAGATTTACGTAACGACGGCGACGTGTACAAGCTGAATATCATTTTATAGATTTTATGGGCTAATTAAGTCTAATTAATTGTCACACCTGGACGCGAGTCGAATGGGCAGAGGGTTCGACGATCGAATTAGAAGAGATTTACATAACGATAGGGTCGTCAAATCGGCAGGGGCCCTGGGGGGCCTTCAGCCCGTCGGGCGAACTTTACATAAGAATCGCGGAGGGCCTCGCGAGTCGCGCTTTCGCGAGGCGGCTGGTCGCGGTCGCGGTACCGGGGCTCTAGAGCCGAGAATCGGAGCACGGTTTATGTAATCGGAGATTGCGTTAAACGGGCCTCTCTTCCCTCCCTCTCCTGGCGTTCCTCGATCTCGTGCGAGTAGCCGTGCACCTACGTAGCGACGCAATCCGCCCGGTATCGCGATCTCCGGACAGGCTGGATATCGGTCCGCTCCGTTACGTCACAGCACCCGGACGAGTCGGTCCCTAAGACCATAAAACCATCTATAACCCACTAAAAAATCTCAGAAAAATTCGGCACGTATCTACGAGTACGTGTATATCTAGTTACAGCCCCCTGAAACATCGATGACTGATTGAAACTCTTCCTAAAATATTCGGCAGAAATATCTACGAATACCTGCTCTGAGGAAAGAAATCTCCTTCACCTTAAGAAATATTTTTTTAATTCAAGGAATACCGACTTGACAGAAATAAATTCGAATAAATCGGATGCAAAGTTCCTTCGGAATAAGAACAATTTATTTCAACTCATTTCAGTGTTAAATTATTGTTCCTTGAATTGGGAAAATATTTATTTGGTTCGATGAATTTCCTTTTCTCAGGGCGCAGGTCTAGATACTTGCAGAAACGTTTATAATTCACTAAAAACCTTTCGGGGAAGATCGGCATATCTACGAGTACATGCGCGTCCTGGTAGAGCGATAAACGAGGCGCTTTATAAACGTGGATAAATTGAGAGGAAAGCGGTCTTACGTATTTCTCGCCGAGGACAATTAGCGTCTCGAGGATAAGGGATGATCTGTCGAGCGGCTCCCAGCATCTTGGACCACCACCAAGTACCCGAGCGGAGGTGTAAACGCAATCGGGCGTTTTCACGGCCACAAATCACCGAATCGTCGCGCCGCAATTAATCTCGGTGTCATGCAGGTGCGGGATTGCACTTCGGCCGTCGAGTGGACGTACGATCAGCTGATAACCTCAGAGATCTCGCCGTAACGGTTATTAATGGCATTAGTACAGGCCACTCCGCGTTATGTCAGCCCGATCGGGCTCGCTTTTGTTCCCGTATGATTTTCACTAGCGATTAGCGGCTGAGTTATTGCGGGCAATTATATTAATTAATGCCGGAATATTTCGGTGCGGGAATAATGATGCCCCTGGTTCGATTCGTGTACCTAGCTCGGTGCTCCGAGGTGCTTATCCAAACCTCGACGTAACGAATG